ATATATATATACCTATAAAATATTTTAAAATTATGAATTGTTATTATTTATATTGTTAAAATTAAATTTGATTCAGTCATAACATATTCGGATTGACCCAGATTTCTGGCGATGAGTTGAGCTATGCACTTATATGGATCCACCGTGATTGACAACTCCATGGATGGAACGAGTCCAAAGGACTTCATGATGACTTCCCAGGTCAAACCACAGAAAAATGAATTGGAAAGTCATCATGAACTGGAAGTGTTGTTCCATTTCTCCACTTTTTGACGGATGATCATTGAACTGGATGAACTGGAAAGTGTTGTTTGAAAGTTCCATGAAGTTGGATGATCATTGAACTTTGCTGACCATCCAGAAGTGTTGTTCCATTTCTCCACCTTTTTGTCGGTGCTAACCCGCAGTTTTCCAGGGAAAAACATGTTGAAATCACCGCTCATTTGTTCAGCTTTGAATCATGGGAAAAAAACAAATCAAATCTATTGGCGGTTTAATCATATAATATCTACAGTATGTTTTACAGTTTTTTTAATCCCCATCAGGTTTTACCGTTTCATGAATCTTAACACTTTTTAATTTGATCCCCGATGCCCATGGTTTGGATCTGTTCCGGTCTCCCCCATAGTTTCAACGTCCTGTAACTCATGAAATTATCAGAGAATTAGTCGCAGGGGAAATGCAGATAAACCGTTCTCATATGGCTGTGGATCAATACCTATACATACCATTTTTAGGGGGATGAACATCCATTTACCAGCTATTTTGATGTGAACTACAGGGGTACAAGGTTTTGACCCATCCCCATATTGATCCGTAAAAAGACCCTGGGTTCCTCTGAATTTCCCTTGCATTGATCATTGATCCATGAAGTTTCCCATGCTAACATATGTTTAAGTGGCCCAAATACCCACAACTAATGTAAAACATATGAGTTGCTCGTAATTCCAAACATGTCCCATTTAGTGCAGAGCTCCCATTTAGTGTGGTGGTGAAAATACCGTATCTTTTTGCTGGTGAACCTCCAACGTCTGCTATGAAATGTTGCTGGTGAAATGTTCATGTTGTCCATCATTTGTCATAGTTAGTTTGATATGTTTAGTTAAAATCCACGAGATGTTCTGAATTAAAAAAACACAAATGTCATCATGTTTCATCAAACAGATGTTAAATTATGAATTCAACAAAACACGATATGTTCTGGTTGGTGGTTTCAAACATGTTTATTTTTCCATCATATATGGGATGTCATCCTTCCCATTGACTCATATTTTTCAAGATGGTTATTGCACCACCAACCAGATTATTATTAACCATATATTAACCATATATTAACCATATATTAACCATATATTAACCATATATTAATCATATATCAACCATATATTAACCATATATCAACCATATATTAACCATATATTAACCATATATTATCCATATATTAATCATATATCAACCATATATTAACCATATATTATCCATATATCAACCATATATTAATCAGATATTAGCCATATATTAACCATATATTAACCATATATTAACCATATATTAACCATATATTAACCATATATCAACCATATATTAACCATATATCAACCATATATTAACCATATATTAACCATATATTAACCATATATTAACCATATATTAACCATATATTAACCATATATTAACCATATATTAACCATATATTAACCATATATTAACCATATATTAACCATATATTAACCATATATTAATCATATATCAACCATATATTAACCATATATTAACCATATATTAACCATATATTAACCATATATTAACCATATATTATCCATATATTAACCATATGTTAATCATCTGTCAACCATATATTAACCATATATTATCCATATATTAACCATATATTAATCATATATCAACCATATATTAACCATATATTAACCATATATTAACCATATATTAACCATATATTAACCATATATTAACCATATATTAACCATATATTAACCATATATTAACCATATATTAACCATATATTAACCATATATTAACCATATATTAACCATATATTAGCCATATATTAACCATATATCAACCATATATTAACCATATATTAACCATATATTAACCATATATTAACCATATATTAACCATATATTAACCATATATTAACCATATATTAACAATATATAAACCATATATCAACCATATATCAACCATATATTATCCATATATCAACCATATATTAACCATATATTATCCATATATTAACCATATATTAATCATATATCAACCATATATTAACCATATATTATCCATATATTAACCATATGTTAATCATCTGTCAACCATATATTAACCATATATTAACCATATGTTAACCATATATCAACCATATATTAACCATATATTAACCATATATTAACCATATATTAACCATATATTAATCATATATCAACCATATATTAACCATATATTAACCATATATTAACCATATATTAATCATATATCAACCATATATTAACCATATATTATCCATATATTAACCATATATTAATCATATATCAACCACATATTAACCATATATTATCCATATATTAACCATATATTAATCATATATCAACCATATATTAACCATACATTAATCATATATCAACCATATATTAACTATATATTGTCCATATATTAACCATATATTAATCATATATCAACCATATATTAACCATATATTAATCATATATCAACCATATATTAACCATATATTAACCATATATTAACCATATGTTAATCATATATTAATCATATATTAACCATATATTAACCATATATTAACCATATATTAACCATATATTAACCATATATTAACCATCATTAACCTCTGGATGGTTGTCCGGTGGCAGCATATGTCCAGGTGGGCCGCAAGCGGCTCTTTGTGGAGGCAGTGAAGCCCAGCGACTTCGCGGATGTTGGACACCCAGGGGGCGACTCGATGGTTCCATGGGATTGGAGGATGTCTATGGAAAAGCTTGGGAAATTGATGGAAATCTGACATGATGTCATGTCAAACATGTTTTTTTTTCAGGACATTTGGGAACACGACTTTTTGGGATTTTAAAAAAACACAAATGATCACTAATTATCATGATTCTCAAAAAAAAACATTATTTATTGGAACACCATGGAATATGGAAGAACATTGATAACTGCCAAATCATATTTTTCCGATGTTTGTCTTATTTGTTCCTTAAAATCATGGCAGACATGTTCCAAAAAACCAAAAGGGTGTCCTTCAGCATCCTAAGACCTCACTGCGAGCGATGATGGTGACCTGAAAGATATGGCTACTGTCAGATAGTGACTCGTTTGAAGTCCCTGAAAAGTCCGACTTGTATTTCATCTAATGTTTTTTTGAAGATGTTTTATGATGTTTTATGATATTGTTTTTATTGTTTATTGTTGATAATCATATGTGTTTTTGATGTTTCATGATGTTTCATGATGTTTCATGATGTTTCATGATGTTTCACGATGTTTCATGATGTTTCATGATGTTTTATGATGTTTTATGATGTTTATTTCTGATAATCCCATCAAACCATCGCTGACTCACAGATCTTGGCCTTATATTGAATTCTCCCTTGTGTGCAGAATCATCCACTTCTTACAAGTTGGGTACACCGTGGTTGGCTAGATTCATTGGTTTTCATCTATGCTGTATACATAAATGGGGACATGTTTCTGAAAATACCCAGCTAAACATTGAACTTATTTGCATCCTAGATTAGCCATGTAAGGGACTGCAAGGAGACTGCAAGTTGTTTTTAGTGCTCTGAGGTCAAAAATGCCTTTCAGGAAATTGAGCCGCTGTCAGCCACACTCAGCCTGCAGGAGTTGCCAACCGGAGATGTTCAGTTTTTGGTTACCCCAGAATGACAGTTTCGCATGTTTCACTCGGGAAGATGACAGTTTCCACGGGATTGTTTTTTTTTTGATTTTGAGATATCTTATTTTCATTTACCCTCTGGTTATGACTAACATAGCCATGTATAGATGGTCCATTTATAGATGGTTTACCTATTAAAAATTGTGATTTTCCAGGCAAAACGCTTATATCAATGGCGAGTCTATTCCGGTTGGATCCGGGGCTCGGTGATTTTTTGTCTCCATGTCTCCAAAAAATGCGAGGTGTGCATTGGATTTCTACGTCCACGAGAGGTGCCCAATTTTTTTTTTGTTTGGAGCGTCCAGATTTGACGACCAGTTGTGAGGTGATTTTATCACTGGTTGGTGGTTTGGAACCATGGGATTTTATGACTTTCCATATATTGGGAATAGTAACCCCAAGTGACTTTCATATTTTTCAGAGGTGATGATCATAGGTTCAAATTCATGATGATTAATGATAATCATAGGTTCCAAATTATGATAATTATCTGTGCCAAACATTTGATGCATTGATGCTAAAATTTCTAAGCTGTAGTCCCATTCAAATCCTGCCTTGGCGGCTTCTAGGCAACATGAATTGAGCCATTAAAACCCATTGTTGATTTGTTATATGAAATAAGGAGTTTAAATTATACAGTTTTACTACCTGGTTATTGGGAGTTATATTTCAAAATATATTACAACCCATAGGGACACATATGAACCAACTAGTATAGTGAAATGGAATACGGGTATTTTCAATGGCTCAATCGGCTCAATTCGTATCGTTGAATCCCGCATTTTTTCCAGACATATTCCATTAATTTCCATTATATTCCCATATTTATCGTTGAGTCAAATCCCTATTTCGATGGTTCAATCCCCACTTTGCTGCTTGAATCATCAAATTTCTTGGATTAATTCACTAAATTTTGATGATTAAACCACACTTTTCTTGGTTTTTGGTTGGATAAATGCCCTTTTTTTGTTGGTTAACTCATTCAATCCTCACCTCCTCGTGCCCTTGGGGTGGCCCTTGGGGCCCCAGGTACCAGCGCGCGGGCTTCGGTCGACAGCTCTTTGACGCCATGATGCGGCGCGAGCGGCTCAGCGCGCAGGAGATATCAAAGAAAAAGTGGGGAGATGATCCTAATATCATTTAAAAAGATGATCCTAATGATTATCAACTAATATCTTAATGATAATTACATCATAAATATACTAATATCATATCTTAATGATCCTAATAATGATTATCATATAAATTAGGATTATAAATATCATTAAGATAATTAAGATAATTATGTAATGATTATATGATAATTATATATGATATATGATTGTGTAATATAATTAGGATATGTAATGATTATATTAGGATATATTAGATATATTAGGTATAATAATTATGTAATGATATATCCCATGACGGATCCATGGTGCTGGTATATATGCTAACATAAAGGGGGTATATTGATGGGATCCATGTTACCATATATAGCAGCACCATGGATCCTATGGGGTATGATAATTATGTAATGATTATAAATTAGTTATATATAAATATATATCATATAATCCACCATAATATGATTATATAATTAAACCAAAAAAAACAATAAATAAACAAACATATATTCAAAGATATATGTATATAGATATATGATATCATATGATATATTATCATATGATATTATCTTCAAACAGATACCAACATTTTTTTTGTTTCATCGGTCAAACAAGTCGTGAACTTGTAAGTCCCAAAGATGAGCAATGGACCAAATGACCGGCCACTTGTGGTACGGAAACATCCCCATTTGGCAGAGTCTGTCTTAGTTTGGGAGATACCCTCTGGTTATGTCAAAATAGCTATTGAAAATTGCCATAGAAATAGTTGATTTACCCAGCTATAAAATGGTGGATCTTTCCATAGTTATGTTAGCTTACCAGAGGGTAGTATATAACCGTTTTCGGATTCACAATTTTTGGTTTGTTCCATCTCAATCGTGACAATAAACATATTATTTGCTAATTTAATGAAGCAAACTGGTAAAAATCACCATGTTCAAGAGGTAAATCATCATGTTTGTCACCTATACATGAGCCAGTTTCCATAGCTTTGTTCTATGTTCCGCAGCGGGTCAGTTCCGGACCCAAAGTTGATTTCCAACCGGCCAGGAGCTGGGCTATGACCGACCATCGCCCAAGTTGTTGTGCTTCCTCAAGAAGCACTACAGCCTTTCCAAGTACAAGGCTGCTTGGGATGGGGAGATTTACATCCAAAATCATGTTGAGCCATAGCCATAGATCATAGTCTTGAGCTGGCAGATGGATGCGTAAATTCTTGGGAGATACGAAGACGATAACTGGTTGGTGGTTTGGAACCATGGGATTTTATGACTTTCCATATACTTGTATTGGGAATAGTAATCCCAACTGACTCATATTTTTCAGAGGGGTTGAAACACGTTGAAACCACCAACCAGAATGGGATTTCTATAGAGTTTGTTTTTCCAATTGTTGACACGGCCGGGCTGCTTCTGAGTTCACCCCCATCCGCGTGGATGGCACGTTGCCCAGCCCCAAAACAACAACTTCGTGGTCTACGAGGACTTCTGGACCCGGCCCGGGTGGTCACCTGAGAAACCTGCTCGGACCGGAACGACTCGGAACCAAATGAGATGGATTTGGACAGTTGGGACCATCCATCCTGGGAGTTTTATTCCATGGAAAAGATGGAACAGATATGAAAAGATATGGAAACCAATTGGATGTGATTTTTTTAGTCAGTTTATAGTCACTTTCTGTTGATGTGCGGGGACAATTCCAATGGGGACAATCAGCCAATCAGCGGCTACTGGGATGCTGGTCCTGATACAGTATGTTGCTGGTGGAGCCAGAAGGGCTGATCCGTGGCCCACAAACACCAGGGGCTTTACAAATTTGGTGGGTAGAACAATGTCAACTAACAATTTTTAGGAATGGTTGGAATCTCATCTATAAAAAAATAGGTGATGACTGGGGGATGGTGCGTTTATGGCATTGTTTTACCCACATTATATTTGTTATTATATATAATTTATATAATCCACTTATGTTTAACAGAAATCCTAGTGTTGGGATTTACAATGATTATGGATGACCCCCGGCCGGTTACGATCGCTGCTCACCGAGGTCCGTTTGGGCGGACCGGAGCAAGGATCGCGGGATCAGCTGCAGGCGAAGCGGTCAACATCGTTCATGTATTACTGGGGGTTTCCCATTGCCAAGTTTGATTACCCGTAATACATATATATATATATATACATATACACCCTCTGGTAAACCAACATAACTATGGAAAATCACCATTTTTGATGGGTAAATCCACTATTTCTATGGCCATTTTCAATAGCTTTTTGTATGTTTACCAGAGGGTATATATACATACAAATCATAAATATTCATGAATCATATCAAAAATTAGATTGTCATCCTAGTCCCAATCTTTGGCGAATATTTTTTCAAGGGTTGAAACATGTTGAAACGAACCAGCCGGGTGCGGCGTGTCCGGGTCAGGCAAAGTGCTGGATGTCAGCGAGCTGCGCGCCCTGCACGACAGGAAGGTGGAGCTGCGGATTGTCCAATGTGGGGTTGATGAACATCCATAAACAACAGCTAGTTTAATGGGCTCTCATGGGTTAAGTAGGTTGGAATTTGATCCATACCCATGCCATGTCATTTTAAGTTTCTTCTAGAGCTAAGCACCTTCAAGTAAAAGTTGATGATAAATTTGATCAGGTTTAGGTGCACATTTAAGCATCACCTGACTCAGCCGGTTCCATCGCGGATGATGGTCCAGTCCTCATTTGGAAGGTCAGAAGGACCTCTTCTCGCGCACGGCGGAGCATCAACATGTCTCGCGTCGGGTTTGGAGCACAGTCTCTACGCAAAAAACCTCTGGTTGGTTGAAAATTACAGCGGATTATACTACCCTCTGGTTAACATAAAAAGCTATTGAAAATGGCCCATAGAAATAGTGGATTTACCCAGCTATAAAATGGTGATGTCCCAATATTTCCCATAGTTATGTTAGTTTACCAGAGGGTATGTCATACTACCCAATGTACTGTGGAGTCTCATAATCTCTGCGAATCTCCATTTACCAACCAGTGGTTGTGGGGTTGGGGGGTAGAACCCAGCGGTCGTTGGTTGCTAGATCCCAACCTCGAAGTCCAACGTAGTGGCTGTAACCCCTGCAGGGGTTGTTCTTCACCCATGGCACACAAAACAACAACAACCTCCCGGCAGATCTTTCACAGTCCCACAATTACAAGAAAATGGGAGTTTTGTCAAAGCGAAATGGTGATGTTTATGTTACAAAATGTATGATATAGATTATTGTTTTTATTGGGTTTGTGAACCCTTACAGCATTTTGGTTCCCAAAACGCAGCGAGCTGGCACATACAATTTTGCAAAAAGGCAAGAAAGAAGAGCGTCTTGGTGTTTCAACCCTTGCATCAACACGAAAAGCACGGATGATCACAACCCATCCTTGTTTTAATTATGCTAAGTATCTTTGACCCTCTCCACTCCCACCTCCCATCCCTTGCCTGTGACATAGCTTGCAAGCGTGTAAGGCCCTGTAAGGCAGTGCAAGAAACGTAGCCTTTATGTGAAGTGAGTCATGTATGAACATATATATATATACATATATTAATCATATATATACAGTATATATATATATACATGAAGGTTACTGCCCCACCCCACCCCCAACCCCTCTTCTAGTGGGACGGTTTTTCAGGTCAGAAAAATGTCACACCCCGACGTTCATCTCTGAGGCGGCACCCATCTTCTGAGAGATCCGGCGTGGCTGCCACGGCCTGAGGCGTGGTCTTCCACCAAGGACGACTTGGGATGTTGGCAATGTTCAGCAGCGTCATAATGTGGATACAATGGGTAAATTTATGTATAATAGATTATATTATGGTAAATAATTAATTGGTAAATAATAGATATATGTATACAATACAATTATATATGTATATGCGGACGATGTTACCTTATTGAGACGTGTTGATCTATTTTGGAGGAGGAACCATCAAATACCTTCTGCAGACATCATCTACACAGGTGCTTCCTCCACATCATGGTGCTTCCTCCGAAATCAGCAGTTGTGGTAAAGCCAGTAACAAACCATCCCAGTCGTATCAACATTTGATGGTCGGCCTGGTCAGCTATAGGCAGTAATAAACATCCCAGCTATAGGCAGTTTTAGGCGTATATGTCATTTTTATAAACTCCAATTGTGAACAATTGTGCATAATTTATTGATTATTTAGTATGGGTGGATCCGGCATTGTATTCCACCAAAAAATCCCAGTACAAAACTTGGCACTTGTCATATGCTCCGGTGTCATGTTTCTACCACAGAGCTAACTTTGCCGGTTCGGTTCTCCGAGCCTTGATTCAATGACGGCTTAGCAACTTGGAGGTTGCAATCCCCAAATATCATATTCAAAGTTATATCATCCCAAATGTATACGTATATATATATTATATATATATATCCACATCCAAGTATGTAATATAATATGATATAATATAATATAGTACAATATAATATAATATAATATAATATCATATCATATAATATCCCCAAATATCGTATCCATGATTTTGTGGTAGGATTCTACCAGAAATCGTCCCCTACAGTAGACCATTTCAAGACCCGGTCCCCGTTGACAGGAAGCTTCCGCGCCCCTGGCCTGAGCACGGAAGAATCATCCACAGCTCTCTATGGGCCATATATTTACATAATGTAATGTGTATATATATATATAGTGATAATGATAATAGTTAATATTATTATTTATCAATTTATCATTGTTATTGTTAGTATGATTGATTATTAATAATTGTATATATGTATATAATATGTTCTAGATATATATATATATATATATATATGCAATGCAATGCTACAGATGGTTTGTTTTTGAAAGGCACACAGCAAGGGTGTGAATCTGTGTGGCAAATCTAATGAGGACTTGCATCTTAATATCAGCCGAAGTCACTTAAGTCATGTTGCAGATTTTGAAGACATGTCATCAAAAGCAATCCAGACAAAAGTGCAAGATGTTTCAACCAACTCAGCTCTATTGTCCAAGGGTCATTTTCCAACATCATTTCCACAGCAGTTCCCTTTAGGTCTGGCAAACTTCACATGTTTCACACGCTTCCGTCACGGGAATCGGTGTTTCCAGGGTCTACAACGCGACTTCCAAAATTGACATCTCGAATGATGGGTTGATTTAAAGAGTTTATTGCTCAGTGGATCTACGTGAATTGTCTGTTGCGGGATAGTGTAAACCATTAAATTGTACCATCTGGCTATTTAACATAGCCATGGAAAATCACCATTTTTAAGTTCGGTAAACCATCTATTTCTATGGGCCATCGAAATCCCATGGCTATGTTAGTCATAACCAGATGGTAATAGGGAGATGAGTTCTCCCCCAGTATGGGATGGGCTAGTGGAGCCGGACTTGCGGAGCGTAAATCAGAAAAATGCCATGAAAATAGCCATGAAAAATCCCTTGAAAAAGTCCCATTGGAATTCCAATAAAATCCCAAGAAAATCCCATGAATTAACATCCCAAGAAAATCCCATTTCAATCCCAAGAAAATCCCATTTCAATCCCAAGAAAATCCCATGAATTCCAACTGAACCGCCCATGGCTCCACCAATTGATGGAGCGAGAGCGAGCCGGAGTGCGAGAGCGTGCGTGTCACCTCCACCCCTTTGGGGTGGTGAAGTGCATGATGAGGGCATCAAGCAAGACTGCAGCAAGGTTTGTTTTTTGCGCAGGTAAACCCTGGTAGCCTACCCAGATTCAGGTACCCCATGTACGGATTATTGTATGGTACTAGTATGACTGGAAGACTGGCAGACTCTGAAGGTGTTGATAAATATTCCAGCACCATGGAGGATATGGGCCAGTGAACCTCTCTGTGAATAGCAAGGGGATTGGTCGAGTCGATTTGTTCAGACTCATGTCACCCCCCATTGATGGATTTTGACGACAGAGAGAGGAGATTTTGGTCCATGTCGAATAGTAAGCCATCCCATATTTGAGTACCCAAATTTGACCCATATTCACATATGGGTATATATATATATATATAATTATATTTATAATATATCTTCATATTCTGGATGTTTGTGTGATTACTTTGGATGATGTGTGTTTTCTGTGTAAAATGATCGCCTTTGGCTTTGGATTTTGTTGACCACTGAATGGAACGACCAAGAGGAGGGTGAAGCCAGGATGGAAGGGGAATGAGGTGTTCCGCAATGCCAAAAAATGGAACGCAGAGTTTTTTTTTATCAACTGGTTTTTAGTAAACCAACAGTAAACCAACAGTTAAACTGGTAAACCAATTGATTTCAATAATCAACTGGTAAAGTTTCACAGTTTGCTGTTGAACATGGCCCATTTAGTTCGTTGATAAAAACCCAACTTGATGGTGATTTGCCACTTCGCCATGTTAGTTCGTTGACCAGAGGCTTAGTTCATCGGCGTTCATCCCACTATGGAGGATCTCCAGTCAGCTCCAGCTGCAGTTGTGCTTTTTGGTCTCCAAAAAATGGCGAGCGGCGAGAGCCAACTATATGGAATGGTGTGGAGTTGTTCATTGATGAATGGTTGCTGTTTAAAAGGGACCTTAATTAAACCACAATGATAAACCATTCCCAATTTTACCATGATTTTGATGTCACCCAAAATTGGTTGATTATGGTCGATGATTGTGTGATCCAAGTAATGGTATTGGATTGGGATCTATACCTCGTAATGGCTTCACAGCACAGTTGTTCTTTACTTTCCCACGTATCAGATAGCGATTTTTGCATCACAGGGCCCAATTATACATATATATATATATATACATACAATTATATACACTGGTCCTGAAGTATATAGGTACACACACACACACTTGTATAATATGTTCAAGTTATAACCAAATTTTCCTGTTGAAGATATTGTTGGTTCCCAACAGCATTGGAAAAGCAAGTCTCGCAATGGGATACGATACATATTGTCATAGGTATGTATCAATGTTTTTATACTGATAATTTATGATAATTTGTTATAATAATGGGTATGTATCGAAAGTTACTTCTGCATATATTTCAGGTATATCTCATCACTTGATCTCACTTGGATCCCGCCAGCAGTCCGCATCTTAGATGACCATCGTGAGGCCTGGCAGTTACCAGTGGAGTAAGGACCATCGAGGTGAGACCATCTACTGAGTAGAAGCCAACTGGATGGGTAGTTGATTACCATGACCCAAAGTTGAATCGTAAGAATCGTAATTTGTCAATATTTTAGCTGGGACTTTGATTTTTTTATCTTTTTGGGGACGACTATAAGACTCTATGGACATATGGACATATGCCACAGATGTGGATTGGCCATGGGGACTCCCATGCCTTCGAACCAGCTAAAGAAATAGTGTATGTTCCTGGCGTATCTAAAGATTGGCCATGGTAATGCCAGAGTTGTATGGATCAACATCCATTTGCCAGCTGCCCGTTGACGTTCACAAGTGTCCCGGGGTTTTGATCTCAGCCCAGGAACGCAGTTGTTTTTGGGGGGAGAAAGGTCGGTTGTGCCAAACTCACGTGATGTGGTGTTCTTTTCACGTGATTTCAGCAGTAAGTCTGGAATACCATGGGTGAACTACGGCTATTTTTGCATGATGTGTGGGCATGGATCAAATTTCACAGGATGTTGGAACCATTCAATCCAGAGGGCACGCATAAGTACCTACAGATCTTTACCTCTAGATATGGCAGTACAAATACGTCGGAGTCGATTCCATTGGGCTGGAGGCTGGTGGTTTGGAACCAAATTCAGCGCCGGAAGAAGCGCGTGATTTTTTCGGGCAGTGCTGGCATTGCTGAGTGCAAAGAAGAAAAGCTCTTAGCACCAGATATGGAAGATGATGGAAGCCTTTTCATTCATGAACAGTTCTTAAACTGGTTGAATTGTTCTTCCATTGGTTGATAAATGTTGATGTTTTCCAACACGTTTCACTCTCCATGTAACTTTTGGTAAATCCCTGTGATGATTCAAGTGCATGGCCGGACCCACGATATCTCCAGGATCCATTCAATCACCCAATATGTTCTCTCAAGACTCAAAGAATCACAAGAAACCCACCATTTGGGAACCTTTACCACTTATTACTTAGACATATTACTTTTATAATTCTTTTATTATATTTGTATAACAATATTTTTAGGGATGGTTAGTTGGCTGGATCCCACGATTAAATCCCATCCGTTTTGATCTCGGCTGCCAGTCCCATCATGGCGTTCGTCCCCAGTCCCATCGTGGCACCCGGTGTCCATGGCGTGTCCCATGGCGCGGTGCGCCCCGGTGCGGCCTCCGCCTCTGGCGCCTCCGGCGCCTCCGGCGGCTCCGCCGGCGCCCTGAAGGGCGCCGGCAGTGCGACGCTGGCAGCGCTCACGGCGCGGGGGAAACGGTGCACCGCGCGACGCGCGGAGAGGGCCAAGGCGGTGGCAACGGAGGAAGATGAGGATGTGGGCTATCGCAGTGTTGCTTGGATCATCTGGAGGACTGGGTGGGATGGATTGGGTGAAAGTATGTCTGATTCTTGTAAACACGAAAAAATAGATGGACTAAAATGGAGGACTGCAATTTACAAAGTGCCCCAAATGTTGATTCATGCTGAAATGGAAGTTGGATGTTGATGTATGGAGTTGAGAAGTAGTTGTGGGAAAAGTAAAAGAGAAAAGAATTAATAATACTTGTATCGACAGATGGATATTGGCTGGAACTGGCTGCGTCATCATATTCTGTGTTTTCTCATGTTTGCCTGAAACCAAGTCTTGAATTGGTCCAATCACTGGGGCAGGAGAACAACATATGCAAAACTTGCCACTAGCACAATAGTTACTGTTATTTTGTTTTCTGGGGTTATCTCAACTCTAAATATGTTGAAAAATGTTGAAACATGTTGAAACATGTTGAAATACCCATCTGAGATCTGTCCCGCAGCTGCTTTCCTCACTGAGGCAACTCCCCGCGAGCGCCAGTTTGGCATGTACGAGGGCCGTCGGCGATCGAATACGGGTCAGGCTGTAGAGCTTCCCTTGTCTCAGCTGCATGTCGTGGCGGCGCAACGGCAGTTGCCGATGCTGCTGGAAGCTGTACCTGGTAGGGACCCATCTGAGGCGATTGCTGCGACTCAGCCTGAAATGGGGTGTTGGGCCGGGATGCTTTTTGGTGATCTGACTTGTAAATTACATGTGTCAATATGTGTCATCATATTCGAAAAAACTGATTATTATGAATACTTATGAAAACTGAATACTGAATACCACCTGATTGTCATATTGTGGAATATTCAATATTGTTTGTCCTGCCTTGCGTTGTCACGATCGTCATCATCGTCATCGACATCGTCATCGTCATCATCATCATCATCATCATGATGTTCATTTAATCTTATCTTACCATATCTTACCGTCCTTTCATGTGTGTCTTCTTTGATCCGCGCAGCCTTCTAAGGCATGGTCAGAGCTGCTGGCCTGTTGCCAAGCTCAAGCCCCGGAACTGCTCGCGACCTGGAGTTGTGGCATTGGACCCTTGTCCCTTGGCTGCCCAGAGTCGAGCTGATTCGAGCACTGGAGATGTTGCCACCTGGGTGGTGCAACCAAAAACCATGGATTCCATGCAACGATCAAACTGGCGCTTTGGGATTTAGAGGAATCCAAGATGACTCCGTATGTCCGGCACATTGACTAGCAGTAATTTTTAACAAAGCTATTGAACATGGCCATTTTTATATTTTTTTAATAGATTCTAGAGGATTTGCCTGGTCAAAATGGTGATTTTCCATAGTTATGTAAACGTTTACCAGAGGGTACATCAGCAACGCCTGGTGAAGTATTTCTCCGAGGCTACGCTTGGCTGTGGCGGTGCCAAAGGAGCACTGGCTCCGAGACCCACAGGAGCACTGGCTACCGCACTGGGAATGGGTTCAGATTGCGCGGTGCACGGTACTTTGTTACATGCCTATGGAAATCTTAGTGCGGGATATTGTGGGATATGTGTATTATGAATGTCCTGATTTGTTTTTGTATTTTTAAGGGTGATGTTTGATAGCAAACTGTCAAAGTACCAGAGAGTACCCTGAGAAAACGTTTTCTAAACCAGAGGAATTTCCTGGGTTTTCCCATGCTTTCTCCACCGTTTTCAGGTAACAAACCCACATGGATGGGCCATGCACTGCCATGCACAAAGAGTTGACTGGTTATCTAGTAACCCCAAGCAGAACTGTGTATGTGCGATGGATTGTAACCATTTATAACCTATATCTACTAACTACTTAACAAACTCCGCCCACATAAGACGAAATATGAGACCGCCTGACACATTCTACCCTCTGGTAATTTAACATAGCTATTGAAAATGGTGATTTATAGTGGATTTTCCCATTGAAAATGGTGATTTTCCATAGTTATGTTAGTTTACCAGAGGGTAAATCACAAATCAACTATAGGTCCAATCATATCCAACTAGCGCCATCTACGCGGGTCTGGGTGACAAAGGACATCACAAAAAACGAAAACTCTCCCAAATGGCCGAACTGATTTTCAGGTCTTTGTTTTTTCAGATATTTGTTATTCTATTATATACATATCTTACTTATATATTACTCATATATTATATTACTTATATTATCTTATATTATATGTATATATATTATATCAATGTGTATGATTCATCAAGTCGAATGTGTTTGTTTGGCCAGGACTTGTGGTGTGAGGACAAAACGGTCCCGGTGAAGATGGATGGACCCGAGGGACCATTGATAGGCGTAGCCACCCGGCGATGGAAAACTTTTGGAACATGTTTGGCAAAATGTTTGGCAAATGGTTGGTAGTGGCAACCAAGGCAACTTCATGATTTGCGAGATTTGGTGTTTTTGACCGGTTTTTGAGCAAACTAACCCAATGGAAGTGGTTTGTAGCTGGTGATTACTGAAAACAACAGGTGTCCAGTCATCGATAGGGCTACAGCTTGCAACCCTGGCACACAGGATTCTATCGGTCACAACGAAAACTGATGAATGAACGATGACGACGGAATGTTTCCTAATTTAAACTGTCATGACTCGCTACGGTAGTTTATCCAAGTTTCAGGGATAGGTACTGCTTGAGTGTTGACTCAACGCGTGGGATGATCCCCTATGACGAATCCGGGCGGCCAAGGAATCGCTTCCAAAGTTGGAGAAGCTCATTCGCCATTTGCTTGCGAAGTGCCTCGTTCCAAGCCATTGAATCTGATCATCTCTCGTTCAACCCAGCAAAGCCGGTATTTGTTGATCAAATCATATCAAATATGTTTTCGTGTTGCTGACATTTTACAATATTTTACATCATATATATATAATATATATATATATATACGTATATATATTACATATAATACATCAATTTCCCCTACAGTTTTCCCATTATACGTTTCCTCCATCGTTCAGCAGGTACGACGATGCCCCCATGTTGCTGGCCAGCGGCTTCATCTGGAACGATGGAGCTGGTGGTACTCTTAGAGAGCATGATGGACGAGAGGTCGGCCGAAAATCTGCCAGATGGCAGTGGGTCAAAACCAATAGTACCCCTTCTGTTCACATCAAAATAGCTGGGATTACTGGATGTTCATCCCTCTAAAAATGGTATTAATAGGTATTGATTCATAGCCAGATTTTTGTTTGGGGTTGTTGTTTTTTTTAAGACCTGCCATCGTATACTTGCGAAGTTTGCGACTATGTTCCCTAAGTGACTCAGATTTTTTTTTCACGAACGGTAATTTCTATGTGGAAGGCCAATTTAGGCCCATTTATATGATATTGAGAAATGTGATTTTGCTATGAAAGATGCTAATTTTCCGTAGCAAACTGCAAAAATCACTAGATGATAATTATCAATAGTTAAAGCCACCAGAGATCTGGCTTTAGCTGACAAGGGATTTACAGTAGCCTATGAAGCCCTAGGTACCCAATATTCAATAATCGGTAATTCTATGTTTCATCCCTAAATCATAGGGTGATTGGGGCGCCCACTGATTTTCATTGGGATGGGTCTCCACCATTTTGCATAGTTTTGCCCTGGTGTTTTGGTCACCAGGATGGTTGCAAGTTGGATCAGTTAGTTGGAACGGTGATAAGTGATAACTGAACCCCTTGTATCCTTGGATGTACAGTGTCCAAAGTCCTTACCCCAGATATAAGCGGAGAGTGCACTGGGTTCCATTTCTTTGTGGTGATTTTTAGGCTAATCAGTGGGATGGGATTGGCTGGACGTAGTTATATCACATGGCCATGGAGAATATTGCGTGACAACCCATAATATCCATGTAAATAATCATCCTTATGATATGGTTGCATGTGATAATGACCACAGTAGCTGTATGACGTAAATCATGCGTAGGATGCAATATACCAAATGAATTTCATAATAGTTGCATCTTAGATGGTTCAACTATTGTCATGTGGTACAATCATGATACACGTTTGATGAAGTAAAGATCTGTAAGATAATGTTGTACACTTTCAACTAAAACCCTAGTGCTCCAAATACCGTCTCAGAAGGTGTTTGAATCCCAAAAATCAGCACCAAGTACAGTCTCAGAAGGTGTTTGGAGCCATAGGGAAATGGATATCTCAAAATCTTAGAGATATAGTTACCAAATGTTACCAATAGAAACATTTTGTTTAGAAAAGTCAGTTCCCACTATTTTGTAGTGTACAATGTGAGGCCCCCCAGTTTTAAGTTGGTTTAGATTCGCCCCAGTAACTATAGTATACTATAGTTATAAATGCCATAAACATCCATAAACCATAGTTATTGGACTTATGTGCACCAACTTAGCTATCCAACGGGGGCCTCAAAATTGTAGCCATCTTGGGCTCCAAAAGAGGTGGTGCTGTGCAGCGCTGCGGGGATGGACCTCTGTGTTCGCTTCATGCAACTCTTTCGGGAGGCGCCGTTGTTGATAAGCAACGAAAAATCGTTGGGACATATCGTGGGATATTAAGTTAATTATAACATATTTCTAGTTAGTTTAACCATGTTTAACCCATCATTTGTTGTTATATGATGTTATATATATAATTATATATATATATATATCATTAATAATGGAGTATATTTATATATGAGCGGGATATAGCAAGCAATGCGACTATGGATACCGGGTACTACCGGTGGGTTTATAGCATGAAGGCAAACCAACCATATATATATATATATATAATAGGGATTAATATGGTAATAGAACTGGGGATATCATGGCATATATAATCTAATTGATATGATTTTGGGTGTGTCTGCCGGTGGGGTATACCTCCCACAATCAGAATATAGTGGAGTTGGCTGTATAGATGAGGATGTTGTTGCTACCATTGGGATGTAGCATCCAAAGATGTGCGATGCGTACAACAGAACTGAGTGGAGAATCAGACATGGACAGAGACCATGATGGAAACAAAACATACAATGATAGTTGTCAAACAATAATTATTTGATTTTGATTTCAACGATGGAAACCCGGAATGACACTAAAACATACCAAAACTCCGATTTGACGATGAACAAAAATGAGGAGCAACGAAACCAATGACTCCGCACTTCGCGTTCCGATTCGGACATGTGAAAAACTGCACAGGTGTGCCAGGGAACGCGCAAGCCGGTGGCAGCCGCGCAGGAGATCCTAGTGTGATCTAGTGTGTCTTCAGATGATTTTGATATATATATATACTGTATATATATATTATATATTATATATATATTATATATATATATTATATATATATTATATATATATATTATATATATATATATTGATGACATGCTTCAAAAAAGACGACAATTACATGATGTAGAAATGTAGACTTGCTCTCGCCCTGAAGTTTTAAACAGTCGGAGTCAGACTTCCAGGATGACATGACATAATTTATGAAAGGTTCCTGTTGGAAATCAAACATTTCCGTTGCGGAAATTCACCTGGGTCAAGAAGAAAATCTGCAAGAGCTTAGCGATCCACAGCACTGTGGGAGAAGTTTAGCTTTGTTTCTGTTGGACTAATTATTTGGGAATATACTTCCAATGGTAGTGGATTCATAATTTATATCCAAAACCCACCAATAGTCGGAATCATTATTATTGAAGCACTATACTTCCCTTTTTCATCAGTGGATAATGATTACCTATAATTCATGTATCCAATTCCAGTATAAGCCCCAAGAAAGATGGACAAGTCAAATCCCAACAACATGTTGTGAGAAATCAAGATACAAATCCTCTTCTATATTTTTGGACGTTGCTAATATACAGCATATGTTTTTATCTAGATCTGTATATATATATATATATATTCCAGGGTAAAGTAACATAATTGTCGAGAAACCACCATGAAAGTAGATGACTTTCCAAGGGTTTCCCCATGGGTTTGCCCCATCTTTGTGTATGTTTACCTTGGCCTCAGAAGGTGTTTGGAGCCATAGGGTAGGGTATATAATATCCTATCTTCAGCCATTCACCCATATTAGATCCTGGGTCGGAAGCCCTCAGGACCTGCTTAGTCCCACGTTGACCAAGAAGATGGTGTCGGCACTGCTGGCTGCTGAGAGCAACCAACGGCTGCCCTTCCCCGCACCTGTGGCAACTTGCGGGCAATTCATGCGGGTGAATTAATGGGATATAATCGTTTTTAACGGGATATATTATATGGCAAATGGTATGTAACGGTATGTATATATAATTATATATATATATATAATTTACTTATATGTATCATGAATGGGATCATGGGATATATATATATACATAGAGAGAGAGAGATTAATAATGGTTTATTTTATGCTAAATGATTGTTAATAACTGTTAATATTGTTTTATTTGATGGTAACTTGAGGATCATCGCATGGTCGTAACTGGTGGACGTAGCCCCGGTGATCGTTTGGACAAGCGATTTTCTGGGTTGTCCCATATATATATATATATATATATACACCTATGGTTAATAGATATCAATAGGATTAACCATAGGATTTCTTGGTTAATTAATTTGTCACACAAATTTGTTAATAGAAAATAATAGGATTTAATAGGGTATTGGTTTTATTTTAATCGTAATCTATCACTATTTTGTGGGATAACCCCTGCCAGTTAATACTATAAGGTTTTTGTTTTAATTTTTACTCCGGAATTGATATGAAACTGTAGCATTTTCTGAGAATTATTGGGGGTTACACACCGTGGCTTGTTTGGACTTTTTCTGACGTTCCTCATTGCTCAGGAAGAGATAGACGTTTTTCCAAGTTTAGTTTGAATTTCTTTGGGGGTTTGATTATGCCCCAAGAATCGGAAATGCACCACACCCCTCAGCTTTCCATCAAGATTCTTTGTGGGATACCCAATTCTTTGAACATGCAATTGAATGTCCGCAAATTCCTTGGGTTTCTGGCGTCAAATACTAGGTCAATATTACATGGATACTTTAATCCTTTAGTCTTTTGGTATTAATGGGAATATCTACTAACCAGCAAAGAATTTTTTTTTTTGCAGTATCTAAGATTGGCAATGAATATGTGATGCTAACATATATGTTGAGCTCTTGAAATGGCCATCCCAATTGACCAACACATCTTGGGGGTTGAAAAAAAAACGTCCAGGAAGTTCCAGATTCAGCACGGCATGTGCAGCCAATAGAGGTCTCACGGGATGGCTGGGACCCCTTGGAGACCCAATCCTTAGAGATTCATCATTGGTAAAACCTCCATGAATCACCATTATTGACCATTATTGATGGCTCATCTACTGTAGAAAAAAAATAAAAGACCTAATTATTTGCAATCTGCGAAGGCACTTGGCAATTTTTGCCGCAATTGTGTGGTCCTGTGTTGTCATTTGTGTTCTCTTTGATCAAACCATTGGTTAACCTGTTTTGTTTGATCAAAACCATTCTGGAGCTGATAGAAGATGACATGTTATTCCAGTTTACCAACCCCACTTGGAATCACATTCATGAAATCATCCAAAGTATGTTGGCATTCTGGTTGACATTCAGTACAACCATGATCAGCAAATCCATTATAATATATATATAACATATATATATATACTGTATATATATATATGGTACCCTCCCCCAAGTGTCCACCGTGTTTCATGGGGGTGCTCCATACATATATATATAACATGTATATATATAATAATAATAATAATAATAATAATAATAATAATAATAATAATAACCATAATGATGATAATAATAAGAAGAAGAAGAAGAAGAAAAATAAGAATAATAACAATAATAATAACAATAATAATAAAAACAATAATAATAATGATAATAATAATAATGATAATAATACTAATAATAATAGTAATAATACATATATATATCACATAAATAGATACATCGAGTCACCATTTTGGATGATGGAAGCGCTACTGATCACCATTATTGATGGCAGTTGATGCTTAAACCCTCCATTTTTATCTGGTGAAACCTCCATGAAGCGTATCACCGTTTGGTTCATGGTTATAACATTGTTTAACCACCAATTGGTCACCATTGGTTATGGTGAAACCTCTATTCATCACCACCAAAATCGATGGTTTTCGGATGGTGAAACCTCCATTAGCCTCTGGTAAATGTTTACGTAGCTATGGAAAATCCCCATTGTTGATAGGTAAATCAACGAACTAACTGGCGATTTTCACTAGCAAACTGTTCAATTACCAGAGGGTAATCTATAATCTTTCCAATATCTAGGGTTCCTAAAATATGGCTACCCCAAACCATTAGTTTTCCCATTGATAGTCACTAATTTACCATTGGTGAGTCACCACCAGAGGGGAACACCTCAATAGCCAGGTGACGCTCCAGGGTCCCTTGATGGCCCTGCGTCGCGCCCAGCTTCAGAGCCTGGGCTCGGCACCGGCGGAGCTGACGGAGGCGCTGGCCACGACGCGGCTGGCGAAGGAGAGGTGGGTGGGTCGTTCCTAATGCTGATTTCCATGGGAAAACATCATCTATAATGGGAAATATCATGGGATTTTTTTGATGGGATGGAAGTCTAGTTCCATTTGAATGATTTGTAAATTGGAAAAAATATGGAGGATTTTTTTGGGGAAGACATCTTCGCAAACAAGCTGATTTCAGTGCCATAGGTTCCCTCCCGGGATGCTCCCGGGAAAATTCTGGGCCTGGTTTGTTCCTGCAAAAAAAAAAAAGTTTTTTGGGGCTTCCATTGTTAAATGGATGATGTTCCATTTTTTGTTCCCCAAACCATTAGTTTTCCCATTGATAGTCACTAATTGACCATTGTTTCCAAGAGAGTAATATCAGTCATATCTCACTGGTTTATCCCGGATTTCATGGTATGATTGTGGGATATATCAAACTGGCAAGGGAACATAGCCAAACGATAGCTGGAGGTTTATAGCTGGGAAAGCCGTCTATAAAATGGATGATGTTCCATTGCCAAATTTGATGGCCGGAGGGTATGGGAAAATCATCTACATGGTGAGATCATGGGGAGATCATGGGGAAGATTGGACAACCATCTACAAATGATATGATGGACAGGTGGTTTAACAATCATTTAAATCAACAAAACAAGTTGATGTGGGGTGATTTAGTGGTGGTGGCACAAGAATTTTGACGGTGTTTCAACCAAATGGCGGTTCTTATAGATACATTTATAAATCTTATAGATAGTTTGTTTGTTGGGGATGGACACCTTGTACATGTCTGGTTTGCACTGCAACATTTAGTTGTTGATTGTGGATGTTTATTCATAGCCATGTAGTGTCACTTCATTGAGTTGATGTTTATACTAACCCCCTATTTATCCTTGCTAATCAGATGGTACTCCAGGATGGGTATACCGGGTACCGTATACCTGTGGGATTTATGGACACCGCAAAGCTAGAGAGACTCTCAGAGAGGTCTGGTGATTTTCAGAAATTGTCAGAAGATTGGTGGGAGTACCACATGTCATGATGTGAATACATCTTGAAATATCACCTATCTATGCTTTATATTACTGTTACTATTACCAGTTGGATGAAATATATACACAAAATGTAGTAAAATTTAATTTTCAGATTCTTATGAGTATTGTCTTATTCAAGAATATTAGTTTAGGAGATTGTTTTGGTGCCAAATGTTTCATCCGTTCCTGAAGTTGAACACTGGAACCCAGCAAAATTCAGTAGAACATGTTTCCAAGACTCATTATCTTGGAAAATCTTGGAAGCACACCTGCCGGGATTCAAGAGTCCAAGCAAAAATGCTAACCCACCAACAAGGTCCACAGGCTTGTGGATACCTCGTTTTTTGGCACATGTTTTTTTTTGGTGCCAAAAAAACAGCGCTTTTTCCAGGTGTTTTTCCAGCCCAGGGTCCAGCGGGTAAAACGCACGAACGACGCGTAGGACCTCGGGGATGAGGAGCTGGAAGAATTTGCTTTGGATCTCATGGCCTGGCTCTCGCGCTTCGGGGAGGCGCTGGGCGAAAACTGGGGGGGTTTAGGGTTGTTGAGGGATCCCCGAGTCGTCCACCATGATACCATGGTTGTGAAACAAGACATTTCAATACGAATAGTATCTAATAGTCTATGGCCTATGACTTGGATGATAAATGATGATAATACTAATAGTCTATGGATGTCTATGGCCTATGACTTGGATGATAAGTAAAATTGGGATAATTCCATGACTTATGGGCCGAACACTTTGAACACTTTGAACCATTGGGGGTGTGATATCCCCAAGCTATTCTTATATCCTGCGACAGTTTTGGAGGTGACGATGGAAAAACCACCCTTGCAATGGATCAAAATAAGCAGCATTCCAACAGGGAAATCATCCCCCAGGACCTCAATTTCTGGCGCTGAGATAGGTTTGTCTGAAACGATACACCAAACTTGATGGTGGATCAGTATCCTATTACCCTCTGGTAATTTAACGTAGCTATTGAAAATGGCCATTTATAGTGGATTTTCCCATTAAAAATGGTGATGTTCAATAGCTATTTTAAATTACCAGAGGGTACACCAAACTTGATGGTGGATCATTATCCTATTACAATTTGAAGAATTATAACCCATAGGATCCATGGTGCTGGTATATATGCTAACATTGGGGGTATATTGATGGGATCCATGTTACCATATATAGCAGCACCATGGATCCTATGGGTAATAATTGTGGGGTATATGGCGTTTCGGGTCAAAAAAATATATCCCTGAGATGGGAACCACAGCTGCGAAGCAGTTCTCATCCCATGCAGGAGTTTGAAGACAGCAACGCTGGACTCTGCGTTGAGTGGCTGCTGTCACAACGTGCCACTGCATAGAGATTGGATCTGGGTAAATGATCAGCAGCTCACTGTGGTTAGTGGGGTCAAAGTAGCCTCTGGTAAATTAACATAGACCCTTAAAATCACCCATTTATAGATGGTTTACCTATTAAAAATGGTGATTCCCCATGGCTATGTTAAATAACCAGATGGTAACTCTTCCAAAATAGCTTCATTTCACCACATCAGATAGAGCTTGTGGAAATGAAGCTCAGACCTCCGACACTGTCACGAAACATGGGCAGCTTTGCAACATTCACGGGCCGCCCAATCGTTTTCCCGAAAAACGGCTTCTTGCGGGACTACCACCGCTGCTGATTGTTTGATCTGATAGGTTCCAAAACCAGCATAGCCATTGTGGAAGTAACCATCAACACATATCAAAACCATCCATACCACGATCCATACCACGATCCATACCAGGAAGGCCATCATCGCCATTATAAACTTGTGAAACAAGCAGTTGACCTTCCTTTTTTAATAGCCTTTGCCATGTCAGGTGCTTTGGATCCCAAGTTCTCCTTGGTGGTCAGCGGCAATCCCCGGGCTCCCAAGAAGGTGTGGTGCGTGTGGTGCAAGAATTGGACGCTAGTGATTCCACTGATAAAACATGGGTACCCCAATAGCTGGATGGATGGATTACCCTCTGGTACCCTCTGGTAAACTAACATAACTATGGAAAATCACCATTGTTCATGGGAAAATTCACTATAAATGGTGATGTTCCATAGTTATGTTAAATTACCAGAGGGTAATGACTAACAGTTCGCCATGGAAAATCACAATTTTTTAAGTTTGGTAAACCATCTATTTCTATGGGTCATTTTCCATGGCAAACTGTTAAATAACCAGATGGTATAATGGAAAAATAACTAGGGGTACCCCTATTTTAGGACACCTCCAATTGACTGTTAGAGAGTTAGAGATCACAAACACGAAAGTGTGTCTATCAAGTTGAGTCTGAGTAGTATATAGTATGCAGTTGAGTCTGGGTGGATCTTTCATTCAGAAAGGTGCATTTCTGTTCATTTCTGTCAGGGTTAGCCAGGTGCAAGCGATTCTTTGCCGCAGTCTGAAGCCGTGCTGGATGAAGCTGCATTAGTTTCAGCGACATTTTTTTGTCGCACTTCCCTGTTGACTCGCACTTAAGGTGTCAGCGAGTCAGCACTCAGGCAACCCCTTAAAATTGTACCCAGTGAAATCCACATATCCACATTGATTTCCATTGATTTCCAAGTACTAAGAGATATAAACTGTCACATAACTATATATGGACAGATCCACCATTTTTCATGGGAACACTCACTATTTCTATGGTCATGTTCTATGTCGCAAACTGTTAGTCATTACCAGAGGGTAAATCCCATGATCATCCCATTATTCACCATTGTTAACCCATTGTTAAACCATGAAAATCACCATTAAATAACCATTTATAGTGGTTAAATCACCATTTTCCTAAACGGTTTTATAGTAGAATCACCATTTTCAATAGCAACAGATGATGTTCCAGAACGGGCCAGGTCTTGGCCGCCGCGAAACGGGACGCTGCGACCTTGGAACTGGAACGCTTGCAGCAGAGTGGTCAGCGCTTCCTGCCCAATCCCGCTGGGATCAAGGCGGAACCGGAGAACCATGGTGGACCCCAAGGGTGGACCCCAAGGGCTTCAAAGTCGGTGAAACCGAAGGAATCTGTTTTTTTTTTTTGTTAACATGTTCAAAAAAATGTTCATTGGATGGGTATTTAACACCTCATGAAGTGTTTGTTTTACTAGATTTGTACACATTAGATTGCTGGGTAAACATTCGAAGTGTACTTTAGTACAGTACCTTTGCCTTTTGCTACAAATGGAGATACAGACTAGCCAGCTTTAAATTGCCTTACTTCTAGTGATATCCACCCTGGGAAGTTATTCTGACAAAGTTTCTGACATATCGTTTGGAAGTATATACGGCTCATATATTCTTACATTCTTTCTGGCATATACTATGATTCTATCCGACATGTTTTCCTGGCTTCTATTTGGCATCTATTCTGGCAGTCTATCTGGCATCTATTCTATTCTGACATTTTTTCTGGCATGTGTTCGGGTCCAGCTACATCCTGAGCTTGCGATATGGCTCGGTTCCGTGCGTGCCCAGACAACTGGAGCTCGTGATGAGCTGCTGGCACTCGACACACACATGTTAGGAGAGAGGAGAGGAGGACTTGCACCTTTGAAATCTAGAGACCCTCACCTGGCAGGTGCGCGGTTGGGGCCTGGGAAAACACCAAAAACTGGGAATTTACATGGATTTAAGAAAATTATAGAAAATTTAGGAATTATACTTTATTTCTGAGCTCGTCTACCTCGTCGCTGAATTCTCTCGGTGGCTGGAAACAGCTCGGCTCGTTAGATCCAGTTTGCAAGCGGAAACAAAAACTGCAGCGATCGGGATGAACATTCCACTTAGTCATTGCATCATACTGCATCCCATTAAAAAAGGGATATCTCATCCATATCCCATCCATATATGCTGCATAACCATATAAAAGAGTATATAAGCACTGCGCCTGCGACACATGGGTTCAAATCATCATAATCATGGTCAGAATCATAATCATACAATAATAATCATCGTCATCATTATAATCTTCATCATCCGCCTTTTTGTGACAGGTAGATAATGTATGATAATGCTAGATACAGCTTCTTGAAACCGTGATATCCCACATATAGTGCAATTGGTATAAGATACATTATCTGGTTGGTGGTTTCAAACATTTTTTATTTTTCCATATATTGGGAAGAATAGTCCCAACTGACTTTCATATTTTTCAAGATGGTTAAAACGACCAACCAGATTATTATTAACCATATATTAACCATATATTAATCATATATTAACCATAATATATTAACCATATATTAACCATCATATATATATATATACATATATATATAAAAAGAGTGTTCTAAGCATCATGAATGACCCTTCAGACTGAGTCACCCCAGGGCTTTGTGAAGCGTGGCGTCATGGCACCCTTTGGCTCGCCCTACGAGAACGAAAGCGGTGCCAGTTGGGTTCCAGAACGCTTGCGCGCGCTGGTGGGTGAGGCGCCAATGGAGCTAAAAGATCTGAGGATCTTAAAAGAAAGTCTCAGATTTGACCTAAAGACAACCCTAAAATACCTATATACTAGTTGGTGGTTTGGAACATTTTTTTATATTTTTCCATATATTGGGAATAACCATCCCAACTGACGAAGTCCATCATTTTTCAGAGGGGTAGGTTGAAACCACCAACCAGATTATTATGAACCATCATTAACCATATAATAACCATCATCATTAACCATTATTAACAGTATATTATATACCACCAACCAGTATAGCTACTACAGATCCGACTTCCCCACCTCGAGGCCAGCCTGCTGCGTGAGCCCAGTCCTCCCAACAGCTGGCAGGGCGATGACTACGAGCCTTGCGCAGCTGAGGAGCGCAAGGGAACGGCTTGGGTGAAAAAAAATCTTTGTGATGCTAAGTGAAACTATGAATGTTAGTAAAGCGATAAAGCACTACCAACATTTTGATGCTTTATATCGTCCATTTATGGTGAAATACTATTGCCTTGCTAACATCAGTGATGATTGCATTATGATGATTATGTATGATCATGCTGCAGATGAAAAACATGGAAATAGTATATATGAAATATAGTTGAATACGATTACAACAATCATTTTTTATGATTGTGCCGAACATGGTGGTGTTTATGTTTATGATTCTGCTTATGTGTGTGTGCTGATGATTAGACATGTTCTGATGATGATGCTGATGATGATGCTGATGCTGATGATGATGATGATGCTGATGCTGATGATGATGGTGATGATTCTGATGATGATGATGATGGTGATGGTGATGGTTCTGATGATGATGATGATGATGATGATGATGTTGATGATGATGATGATGGTGATGATGCTGATGATGATGATGATGATGATGATTCGAACGTGTTTGAAAATTGTTTGTGCCCTCCAAATGGCCATTTTAAGCGGGACGATTCGCCAATGGATTTTGGATGATTTTGGTGCTTTCCCGCAGATGTTCAGACAAAAGCCACATTATTCGATATCCCCATGGAATCGTTGGTTTTGTACCATCTTTTTGTGAGTTTGAAAGCACCATTGTTCATCAACCAACCTGACCTGAGAAGGCAATGTCCAATCTCCAATGTCCATCAAGTATCATATTACGTGATTCTGTTATTATCCCCCATATGTATATATACGTATACATAGATACATATTATGTATATATGTTTTTATGTATATATATATATCAATATATCCATGTTAATATGTGTAGATTACATATACATATACATATATATATATATATTCATATACATACCTGTATGCATTCTATCAATCTCCACCATGATGGGCCCTCCATCTCCATTTCGCCAGGAGCGCTTCCTCAAGGATCCGCAGCAGCTGCGAAAAGCCACCGTGCGGATCGATGAGATCCTGAGCTTCGAGTATTTGTACCTGGGATGGATCGAAGAACACCATGAAAATGCTGTTTTATACTGAAAATGCTGAAAATCAGCTGGTATTAATGGGAATATTTCCATGTTTTTTACTGGGATTGACCTAACATGGTTCAATGCGGTTTTATACTGAAAATGCTGGGTTTAATCTAGGTCAATCTTACATGGGATACTTTAATCCTAACTAGTCTTTGTGGTATTAATGGGAATATCTACAAACCAGCAAAGAATTTAATTTTTTGCAGGGTATCTAAGATTGGCAATGTAATGTGGTTTTATTCTATGATATAAAAAAAATAAATAACCACCAAAAAATGATAGAACAAATTGAAACCTGGAAAGTTGTCGGGGAAAATATATGAAAACATCATCGAACTACCATCCTGAAAACACGTTCGGTATCTTGTTTGCGGGTTGCTATAATATGAGTAATATGGTTTAATAATGTTTAATATGGTTTAATATGGTTTGATAAGGTTTCATAATACTTAGATATGTTTTATATGATATATGATTATGTTTATCAATACTGAACGCACACATTTTTGATAAGGTGTAGTATGAAATATATTGTGCAAAACTAAGATTCTGGCACGTTCAATCGGCAAACAAAGGTAAGAACATGGATTTAATTCCGGCAACATGGTGGTTTTACCAGTACAAATTGTGGATTGAACATGAATGACATTGGTATGTAACCCTTACGGGATAAAAAACTCATAGCTAAACTGTGAAATGGGTTATTCAAAACACATCTATATAGATCAGATTTCATGAATTTCATGTTGTACCCTCTGGTAAATTAACATAGACCCTGGCATATAGGACTTGGAAGATTAGTTTCCATTAAAAATGGGTGATTTTCAGGGTCTATGTTTTTTTACCAGAGCTGGATGGTGGTTTGGAACATTTTTCATTTTTCCATTCAGTTGGGAATGTCATCATCCCAACTGACGAACTCCATCATTTTTCAGAGGGGTAGGTTGAAACCACCAACCAGATTATTATGAACCATCATTAACCATATAATAACCATCATCATTAACCATTATTAACAGTATATTATATACCACCAACCAGTGATCTGATGTTTTTGGGCAGTTCCGGGTCACGACTGGGATCCCAAAAGCACCAGGCAACATGTGGGGCAAACCATGAGGAATTGCCTCCGCGTGGAGAGGCTGGCTTCAGGGCATGTTGGAACTCAAAGTACTGTATATAAATGGATATATTAATGGATCTTAATGGATCTTTATGGATCTTTATGGATCTTTATGGATCTTAATGGATCTTAATGGATCTTTATGGATCTTTATGGATCTTAATGGATCTTAATGGATCTTAATGGATCTTAATGGATCTTAATGGATCTTAATGGATCTTAATGGATCTTAATGGATCTTAATGGATCTTAATGGATCTTTATGGATCTTAATGGATCTTAATGGATCTTAATGGATCTTAATGGATCTTAATGGATCTTAATGGATCTTAATGGATCTTAATGGATCTTAATGGATCTTAATGGATCTTTATGGATCTTAATGGATCTTAATGGATCTTAATGGATCTTAATGGATCTTAATGGATCTTAATGGATCTTAATGGATCTTAATGGATCTTAATGGATCTTAATGGATCTTGCTGGATCTTGCTGGATGGATCTTAATGGATCTTAATGTATCTTAATGGATCTTAATGGATCTTACTGGATCTTTATGGATCTTTATGGATCTTTATGGATCTTAATGGATCTTAATGGATCTTAATGGATCTTAATGGATCTTAATGGATCTTTATGGATCTTAATGGATCTTAATGGATCTTAATGGATCTTTATGGATCTTTATGGATCTTAATGGATCTTAATGGATCTTAATGGATCTTAATGGATCTTAATGGATCTTAATGGATCTTAATGGATCTTAATGGATCTTAATGGATCTTAATATGGATCTTTATGGATCTTAATGGATCTTAATGGATCTTAATGGATCTTAATGGATCTTAATGGATCTTAATGGATCTTAATGGATCTTAATGGATCTTAATGGATCTTTATGGATCTTAATGGATCTTAATGGATCTTGCTGGATCTTAATGGATCTTAATGGATCTTAATGGATCTTAATGGATCTTAATGGATCTTAATGGATCTTAATGGATCTTGATGGATCTTGATGGATCTTGCTGGATCTTGATGGATCTTTATGGATCTTAACGGATCTTAACGGATCTTAATGGATCTTAATGGATCTTAATGGATCTTAATGGATCTTAATGGATCTTAATGGATCTTAATGGATCTTAATGGATCTTTATGGATCTTTATGGATCTTTATGGATCTTAATGGATCTTAATGGATCTTAATGGATCTTAATGGATCTTAATGGATCTTAATGGATCTTATGGATCTTAATGGATCTTAATGGATCTTAATGGATCTTAATGGATCTTAATGGATCTTAATGGATCTTATGGATCTTTATGGATCTTAATGGATCTTAATGGATCTTAATGGATCTTAATGGATCTTATGGATCTTAATGGATCTTAATGGATCTTAATGGATCTTAATGGATCTTAATGGATCTTAATGGATCTTAATGGATCTTTATGGATCTTAATGGATCTTAATGGATCTTAATGGATCTTAATGGATCTTAATGGATCTTAATGGATCTTAATGGATCTTAATGGATCTTTATGGATCTTAATGGATCTTAATGGATCTTAATGGATCTTAATGGATCTTAATGGATCTTAATGGATCTTAATGGATCTTTATGGATCTTAATGGATCTTAATGGATCTTAATGGATCTTAATGGATCTTAATGGATCTTTATGGATCTTAATGGATCTTAATGGATCTTAATGGATCTTAATGGATCTTAATGGATCTTAATGGATCTTAATGGATCTTAATGGATCTTAATGGATCTTAACGGATCTTAATGGATCTTAATGGATCTTTATGGATCTTAATGGATATCTTAATGGATATATTAATGGATCTTAATGGCTATATTCATGGATATATTCATGGATATTAAAAGGTCAGTTACGGTCTTCTATGTTCTGGATGTGTTGCATTTCTTGCCAGAAAGAGTTGGGCCTCTAAAGGTTGTAAAAAACCCTATCACACCCTTGCCCAGTGCGAGGCGTACGGGATGGTACGCCATTCAATTTGTTTTTACACGACAAAAAAATAAAAGACGAGCACATACTGAGCACAAATCACATCCAAACGGAATGTATTAATGACACATCAAAGTCAAACAATCATTACATTTGATGTTAAATATGTTTTCCCGTTCAAAACCATCACATCCAAATGTAATACCTGGAGCATTTGGAGCGACAATGAGAATGCAACATTTTGGAGTTTTCGGAAGCCTTACAGCCCGGCAGGAGAGGAGGCATGAGTCTCATGAAGTACTTGAGCCGAGTCAAAGCAAGAGAAACTGGGATGGCATCATACGGAGGTTTCCTGCAATAGGGATACCCCTAAATCATCCATTTCAATAGGATTTTTCCATTAAACCATCCAGCTATTGGGGCACCCTCATTTATGGAAACCCTTATATTTTCCGAATGAATTTCCTCCAGACAATTATATATTTAGTATTTTATTGTACTAATTATCTAATAATTAGTGGGTTCCTATTCTGGTAGGTTTTTTTTGTTGGTGGATTCCCATCATCGTCTATGGTTTGTGGAATATACCCTGGCAGCCGGAGAAGAGCCACTGAGGGCCAGGGATGGTAAATATATAATTTCCCCGAGAATCAAACATGATTTGCTGGAGGATTCGCGATTTATACGATTTATAGACACTGCTCCCATTCAAACGCCCATTGATGTGTGACTGCCCATGACCAAATTTGATTATTCCTGATAGTTCTTATAACAGGTGAAATGGGAATTAAAGATATTCCTACAACAGATATATTATTATATTGATTATTCCATTATTATTATTTGATTATTTCATTATCATAAAACGATAATTTTGATGATAACCTCGACTCCACACCATTTTTTTTGTATAACTATAAATAGGAGGTAATCAAACTATTTATGCCAAGGAGGTTATATTTGATTATAATTATAAATAGGAATCTGCCAAGGCAGGTCGCTCCACAACTTCTGAGCGCTACCGAGGAAAGCAGCTTCTGGGTGATGACCATCACTGCTGAGGAGGAGAAAGACGATGAGGAGACGACCGAAATTTGCGACCGAAGCCTGGAAATGATTGTAAAGGAAATTATCCCCTAGATAGCCATAAAAAATCATCTTATTTCAGGTTTGTGAATTATTATAATTTGCCAAGATCAATGGACATTAATGAACATCAAGGTGAAGCAAAATTGGGAGTAGAACAGGGTTAATCTTGGATGGGTACAAGCTAATCCTAACTAGTCTTTTCAATGGGATTATCTACTAATCAGCTAAGTTTTTTTTCAGGGTATCTAAGATTGGCCATGGTATAACATGGTATGACATGGTATAACCTTAAGATGAAGGGGGTGTTGCCTGGGGATGTTCGTTGCCAGCGGCACAGGAGGTTGCACCTGTGCAGCACATGCTTCTGATGGAGGCCGCCTGGGGATGTGAAACATGAGATCAACTCTAGGTAGGCATGGTACATGAGGCAGATACTTAGCTAAATCTTAACCGTAGAACCATCCCTTTGACCAACTAAATTTTGGGGCGAATTTTTATCATCCTGAAAGGCATGGTATACCAATTTTCATGAACCCCAACGGAACCGGAGATTCTTTGCGTGTGTGATGATGTGTGAGTTTGTTTCTTTGCTTTTGGCACATATGATCGTGATGAATTATGATGATTTTATGTTTTTTTTTTTTTATTGTCATATGACGAATAGGAACCCGAACATGGTTCACGGTTTATGTGCTTCCCGTTCGCATCAACGTGGCATCGAAGTCGTTTCATGGGCACCGCCGTTTTTATCACATCGAAAGAAAATAAAAATCCACAAAAACATACAGAAAAAAACAGAAGGTTGCGCCATGTTCCATATATATAATTATATATAATATATATAATATATAATATATATAATTATATATAATATATATAATTATATATATAATATATATAATATAATATATATATATAATATATATATATATATTGCATCATGATCTATCATGATCTCTGTGCCCGGCCTTTCTTCCGGCAGGTCTACAACGGCTTGAATGTGATCCATCAAGCTGAGGGGCCCCATCCAAGGCGTTGGCCACGTGCCGATGCCTGGCGTTGGTTGCAAGAGTGGGCTCAGCAGGAAGGTTTACGTCCAGATGGCCCAGAGGGTGTGCCTCAACTCCATGGCGATCCATTGTGGATGGGAAGGAGATAGGGTAGATGTCTTGAGGATGATGATGATGATGATGATGATGATGATGATGATGATGATGATGATGATGATGACTTTGAAACGCGATCTCAATGGGGTTGGCTCAAAAAATATGACAAAGCATTGGACACTATGCTCCGAATGAGCACATTCATGCTTCCATTGACTTTTAGCACCACATGTTGCTTTGTGGTAGCTATTTCATCCCCTTTCTATCGTTGAAATGACTGTTTGTTGGGTTTCAATCATAGCAAAAGGCAGCATTTTTGTTGGTAAAATTCATCATCAAAGGCTAGCCTTTGGATTCCGAGATTGGATGATCATAACCATGGATGATTAACAATAATAGATGGATACTAGATAGATAATATCACTATTATTATTATTACTAAGGAGATGCTCATCTATTACTATCATTATCCATCATATTGCCGTGCTTTGACATTATTTGACCATGACAGCGAAGGTCACGGTGGGCCCCTATGGCAGCTACGACGGTCGCATGGACCGCTGGGACATTCGCCGCTGCTTTCTGTGGTGACCGCGGCCAGGGAAAAAAAAACGTGCTGGGTCAAAATTTGGACAGGAAAGGGATGTAGAAAGACCACAAGCAGTCGATTTCAAACTTTGACTCAGAGACGTTCAAGGATTTGTTCATAGCTGGCCGAAGGTTGTCCCTTGGTCAAGTGGATTTGTAGATGAGTCTGCAGAGGCATCCGGAAAACTTCATCAATATTGATCAGAATATGCTGCTTGTTGGCGGAATTATGGACTTTTATGGAACTATTCATCTTACTCCATATAAACCGATATCAAGCCCCTGTGATGACCATACTAAACATCTCCGCTATAGAAACAATGATGAACTCTGATCTTGATTTAAGAGGAGATAATCTGAGATACTGTGTTGATCCCTATACAAATACATACAGTATATAATATCATGTGTGTTGTCTTTTGTCGTTACTCTTATTTTCAGTGACAGATTTGGAGGTTTTAAAACTCATACGGGCACTACATTGAAAGCCATGGATGTATTGGTGCAATTGGGGATCCGCCATCGGCCCATGACTTGTTTGAAGCCCCGATTTGTTTGAAGAAAATCTATAGCGTACTTGGCAACCAAGGGCAGCCTTGGCTTGCCACAAAAGATGGCAACAGGATGCGACAGGATGCGACAGGTGCGACAGCTGGCAATGCCGAGACTGAGACTTTGCGTTCGCTTACGCTTCCCGCAGGAAGAATGGGCATGGCCTGAGAAACACCGCAGCTTTAAGTGGTTTCAACAGATTCAACATGGGAAATGAAGCAACATGAAGCAACCAAGACTGGATTTCACCAACAACAACAGGGAACGTTTTTGCCTAACATGTGGATGAACTGGTGGTTTCAATTGTTGGTTTCCAGGCGCAAGCGACATACCCACTCGACCAATTGGTCCTTCTCGTTGAAAGCGGGGGCGCGGATTGATGTCAATACTTGCAGGTGTGCGTTGATTTCTCAGTGCAACCAAAATCAACGACAGGAGAAAGCAAAAACTTCAGTTGCATTCACCCAGAAACTTGTCTCTTCGACGTGAAGTGCCTTCCACTCATATATATATATGTATCTTCGTTTGGTTCGCCTGGCTACTCATTTTCCAGACATGTTCTTATGTTCCATAAAGATCATAAAGCAGTTTGTTTCATTGGCGCTGAAGGAATCTTGGTCTTCCCACAAGACACCTGCTCCCAGCAAAACGTCTTTTGTTTTCCATCGCGACGACTCTAGCTACTCGTTCACACCGCGTCTCTCGTCGGATGCCCCAAAAAGTCCAGGGCTTGGGAAGAATGACATGGGATGAACGAAGTTCTAAGATTCAGTCATGATTATAGAATAGACACTATAGTAGTCGAATGTAGTCGATACATCTACCATATCATGCATCATTATGCCACATGATGCTACATTTTGCCACCAAATGTGACTATAATGCCTGAGACTTTTTATTCCCTCTATCTATAAATATATGATGATACAATGTGTGTGCCACTAAAAATTGGGAGTGAAAAAAACTGGGATGTTTTGCCACCAATCTTTGAAAAAAAAAAATGAAGCTCTGACAGAAACGCTCTGCCTGCATAAGGCTTAAGCGCCGCAGATAAACAGAGAGTCTCTCGATATGTCACGTGACATGTCGAGATAGTGAAGATCCTTGGAAAACCATCAGCAAACAATCAGCAAACAACATGCCAAAATGATCCAAAATGTCAAAATGAGTCAACGTTGGAGACATTTGGAGGTTTGGCGATAAAAGGAAGGAGCTTTGACCATCGTATTTGAGTATATGATGATTGTGTCCTTTGAAACGCCAGATTTCAACCCAGTTGAAGTATTGCTTTATTCACTTCAACATCAACAAGTCAAAGTGCCATAACCAGCAAGGGACAGAGCCAAAGGTTCATTGCTGGGGTCTCTCCACATATGAAGCATCAAGGAAATGCAAGGAAATGCAAGTCAATAGCCAACAAACCTTCTGACATTTGTGAATGCTTCCACCAATGGTTTTCATTGATCGTCGTCATCGTCTTAATTCTTAATCTAAAAGGAAATGAAGATCCACTATATCCCCGTTATATCCCATTAAAGATCCATTAAAAATCCATTAAAAATCCACTAAAGATCCATTAAAGATCCATTAAAAATCCATTAAAAATCCATTTTCTAAGCAATCATCTCCCCATTTCTCCATTAGAACTGCATGGTCGCTCGGATTCGGGCATAATCCACGAAGATAGTACGACATAGGGCAGCTGTCGCCGTGCCTCACGGCCATGGATGTGTCAAAGGCCACGAACGCCGATCCCACTGGCCGTTGACTCTGAACGGGGAGGACTATGGAAGTGCTATGGAAAATGGCCATTTATAGTGAGTTTTCCATTAAAAATGGTGATTTTCCATAGTTATGTTAGTTTATCAGAGGGTAAGATGTTTTTCCCCAAATTGACGTTGAACACCATCTCAAAATCTCCGATTTACATCATGGAACCAGGTGCCCAGGTGGATCTGGGGGTTTCCTAAAATAGGGGTACCCCCAAATCATCCATGGTATATTCTATTATAAACCATCCAGCTTTTGGGGCATCCCGGGCCTCCTCCAACTCCACCTTATGACCCCAAATTGTTGTCAGATACTAATGATGTGCTTTGGGTTGGCAACTGTAACCCTGGGCAACTTTTCGGCAAAGAAGATATTGTGCTAGAGTGGGGAGGCGGAATCTGGACTTTTAGTGAAACTTCTGCAACAACCCCTGCAATCAAGTGCCTTCGCTCAAAATTTAAGAAAAAAAAACGTAATGCCCTTTTTGGGGAACCTGTTCGTCCACACCAAGATTCTTCCATCATGCGTGGTCGGGCAGGGGGAGTTGCAATTGTTTCCCAATTACCATGCAGAAAGTACAATTTCCCTGCACCAGATTTCCTTCATTCATCAACTAGATTCATGGACTCGGTTGTTAATTTGCATGGGAGCCGATCTATCTATGTATGCTCTGTTTATGGAACAACAAATCATAATCAACATGATTTGGCAGTTACTGAAAATATATTCAACCGCTGAAAGAGCTCTCTCTTTCCGTGGTCCGGCAATAATTTGCGGCGATTTAAATGCGCCCCTCGATAAGTTTCCAGCTTGGGCCAAGCTCCAGCAGTTTGGCTGGGCCGACTCAGCTTTGTTGGATCAGAGAATTCATGATAGAGAGCCCCAACCCACTTCTAAGGGGACTGTTCGACATTCGTTTATACTTTGTTGTGGAGAGACGGCCAGTTCGTTTCTCACTTGTAGAACGGCTTGTGAATATGAATTTGATGCTCATCCGCTGCTTGTTACAGGTTTCTCAATTTCCACTTTGTGCACGCCAAGTTGGAAATGGGTTCTTCCAAAAGCATTGGATAAGTTTATATTTAATGAAGCTGAAATTGATGCGTATGGTGACAATTTTTGTCGATTGAATGCTGCGAAATTCCAGGATGCAATCCACAACATGGATATGGAAACAGCAGCAACATGTTTTACCCATGGAGTGGAATCAACGTTAAAACATTCAGCAATTAGTTCTGAAGGAACCTATCAGTATATTCAACCTGGTCATTTTGGACGTTGGGTTAAAACACCACTCAAACTCAGGCTTGAAAATGTCCCTGTCATAAGACCTGCTCGAAACGGGGAATTTACTCCTATCGTGTCTCAACTAACCTTCATCTTAAGGTCCAGGACAAAACAATTGCGAAGAATTAAAGCACTAAGTCAACAATATTCATCGTTTCTTAAAAACAAACAAGAGACAACGCTTAGAGCATGCCGTAAGTTATGGAACTGCATCCTCCAGGCCAATGGATTTTGCAATGGTTTCCACACATGGATTGGGAAACATCTGGGCTTATTTGTCCCGCTGAGCCTCCCATCCCTGGAGTACATATGGGAACTTGAACGTGAATTTGATGCTTTTCACAGCGCTGAGATTCAAAAATATTATGCTTCTAAAAATGCAGCCAATAAGAAATCAATTGCAGACGATATTCAAGGTGGTGGCCACAGAGCTTTTGCAAGTGTTCGTGATGCTCCTGCTCCTCCTTTGACATCAGTCACCAAAATTGCCAGATATCAGATGCGCCGAGTGAAATGGACCAAGGAAGGCCGTAATTGGCTACCCATGGTTAGCACCCAAGGTATTTCCCATGAATACCCGATAACCTTTCAAGGTCAAAAAAGATCCATCAGCAGAATCCAACCCCAAGGTATTCTTTTAGAGTCCCCCGTTACTCTGAAAGATTGTAAAGATCTTGAAATTACACAGCCTGTGACATCAGCCCATCCTGAACTAATGCACCAGTGCTTGATCGCTGAGTGGAGCAAATTGTGGAAACGTGACCCGTGTCACGAACCTGCCAATTATTGGGATGATTTCTGCAGAACGGCATACCCAGTTTTTCATACTTTGGTAGATTTGTACATTTAATTCAGACATGTTGCACCAATTGACATGTCACTGAACCCTTTTACCAACTGCAGTCGACGTAGCTGCCCTTTTGAAGCTCAAACACCCGAGCTGCTGCCGGTGAAAACAGAGAAGGCGGCCGCTTGCTACGTGGACGAGGTGCGGAGGACTGAAGGTTGGGGACCTGGCCATTTCCAGGTTATGAGCCCAAGCGGTTCACTGGGCAGATGAGTGAGTTCCATAGGAGAAGGGCCACCAAAGAAGAGATGGAGCAGGGTCAAAAGGAGATAAGACTAGCTGATGAAAGAATGAAAACAGAGGCTGAGAGTAGGGGTGAGATGCCTATACAAAACGGACCTGAAGAAAAACCTGAGGATGTTGTAGAAGGGGAAACGCCTCCACCGAAAGAGGGTAAGAGAGATGAACCTCAAAGAGGTACCCCTGCAAGGAATTCCAATCAGGGTTCAGGTGCCAAAGCGTTGTTGCCGCCTACACAACCTCCTCCTGATCCTCCTGCCCTTTCTCTACGTCAAGAGGTGGTGAACTCCCTTGAGAAGAATACGCCCGCCGACAAGGGTGAAGGCAACTTCAATGGTGGACCTTTAATGAGGGAGATTGCAACTCCCCCTGAACAACAAGCAGGAGATGATGCAACCCAAGTGCAAGGGCAATCCATGGCACCTCCGTTGTTCACCGAGGAGCAGCTGAGAAACTTTGCTGCACTGCAGGGACAAGCCGCATGGATGTATGGGCCCCAACAGTCGTTTTTCAATCCAATTGGTTTTTCACGTCCTTCATTTTTGGATGGAGATGCAGCCAGAGCTTCAGTGAGTCAACATGAAAGAGACATGGAGTTTCTGAGAATGCAAGCAGTGAGAGACCGAGAGGAGAAAGACGAATGTAGAAGGCAGATTCAACTGTTGGTAGAAGAGAACTGTCAGTTGAGAGCCAGGTTTGAAAGTGCTAGCAAGATGCAGACTGAGGATGAACCTAGGTTTGCGACTCCTGAGGAACAGCCGGATCAGACCAGCCCAGGTTTCGACATGGATGTGGATTGGTTGAAGCGGCGAAAGGAGGCTGACAGACCCCCATCAAAGGAGGCTGACAGACCTCCATCAAAGGAGGCCGACAGACCCCCATCAAAGGAAGCTGCCAGACCCCCATTCCTACCTGAGGCTGCAGAGTTCAAAACCCCCAAGGAGGCTGCCAGACCCCCAAAGGTGGAAGCATCACAGCGTCCCCAAGAAGAAGGAAGCCGAGGTGCACCTGGTGGAGGGAATGCGCAGTTCACTGAGAAATCTTTGGAGTTCATGGTGATTATGATGGAAACTATGAAGGACCTACACAAGAAGGTCAACGAGACAAAGGATGAGACTGGCATGGTTCGAGGAGTTGAGATTGTGAGGTCCGGCACTCCTGACCTGCCGGTGTTGACCCCCTGGTCACCAAGCCAGGGTCCCCTCCAGTTGGGAGATTGGCTTCTGACTGTGGAGCCGATCATAGCTGATTTGTCAGCAACTTCAGAAGTGTGGTGGTCGCTGATGGTGAAGTCTGCAGAGCAGTGGTACCAGAAGCACATGATGATGCCCCCACTAGATCGAGTTCAACATGAAGTTCAACCGCCCCCAGAGGTCACCTTGGAAAAATGGTCCAGGTTGGAAAGAAGAACGGCATCGATGCTGCTTCAATCTGTGCCGGAGGTGGTCAAGGAGGAGTTGGTTTCAGCTCGACGGCTGAGCGTTTTTGGGATTTTGACGCAACTGCTGTTGACGTATTGCCCAGGTGGTGTCTTGGAGAAGCAGACATTGCTGAGAAGTTTGGAGGAGCCAACAGAGGTCACCACGGTGGGCGAGGCTCCTGCTGCAATACGTCGGTGGCTACGTTGGAAGCTGCGGTCCCAGGAGATCGGTGCAGTGACCCCAGACCCGGCACTGTTGTTGAAAGGTCTGAACAAGTTAACACGCCGAGTCCTGGAGTCCAACAAAGAACTACAATTCAGGGTCAGCCTGGCCCGAAATTCCCTTGGTGTGGATACGAGGCCGACCGACACCACAGTCAGCCAGTTTGCCACGCACCTTTTGGCTGAGATCGAACAAGTTGCTCTTTCCGAAAAGAGGGCCACTGCTGCGATGCCAAAGGGCGAGGTGAAGATCAAATACTTGGACGCAGACAAGAACAAGCCAAAGACTAAAGAGAGGTCTACAGAGGAGGACAAGCCGAAGCCAAAATGCAGGTTTTTTCTCACGGATGCTGGTTGCAAAAGGGGAAAGGAGTGCACGTTTAGCCATGATGTCAAAGATGATCGTCGCAGGTGTTACAACTGCGGCAGTGTGGACCACCTTTCCCCAAGCTGCACCAGGTCAAAAGGCGCTTCTACCGAAACAAGCCCCAACAAGCCGAGGGTTGCCAAGGCCGAGGGGGAGGAGCGCAATGTGACTTCACCAATGAAGGAGTCAGAGACTGGAAGCCAATCTAGTCAAGGGGAGGCAGTGAAGGACTTGCTGGAGGAGGCCAACCGGATGTTGAAGTCTCTGTCGAGCTCTTCCAACACTATTGCTTCTACAACCTCTTCGACGTCTGAAGAAGAGCGAAAAGATGTGATGGAGCGCCTTCATCAGCAGCTGAAGTCGATGAAGACGTTCAAGATGAAGAGACTCAATGTTGGGAACGACGTTGGACTTGTGGATTCAGGTGCAACACATCCACTTCGTCCTAGACATGAAGGCGAGAATGTGGATTTGTACCCGGTGGTGGAGGTGGCATTGGCAGATGGAAGGACGGTGAGGTTGAAGATGTCCCCTGGAGGTGCTATGATATCACCTTCACCTGCCATCGAGCCTATCATCCCCATGGGCTTGTTGTCGCAGAAGCTGAACTGTGACATTTCCTGGAAGCAAGGATCTATGCAGATCCACCATCCTCTGAGAGGAGAAATCAAGGTGATGATGAAGGGAAGTTGCCCCCATGTTGCCAGATCTGAGGCTTTGACGTTGATTGCGGAGCTGGAGGACATCAAGATGGGCATTCCCAATGAGATTGGAAGTTTTGATGCGGAAGTGGCATGGCTGAGAAAGCTGGTGTCGCAACATCCAGTGCTGTCTTCACTCCCAGAGCACATCAAGGAGCGGCTGGTGGTGGAGCCTGGAACTTGGTCTGATCTTCCAGGCAACAGACACTCAAGAAAGCGCTGGAAGAGGAGTGGCTTAGCAGTTCATTTGTATGCTGGGCCAGAAACAGGGTTCACTTTGCGGCATGCCATCAAACAGCTGGGTGGTTCTGTCGATGCCTTGTTGGAAGTTGATGTTCAACGAGGAGAACAACATGACATGCTGTCGGACCACGCAGTTTATCGTGGTCTGTTGAGGGTGGCTTTGGAGGGAAAGATCAATGCGATCGTTGGTGGGCCAAACTCCCCATTCCAGGGCAGCCTAGTGCCCCGAGGCCGATTCGCCGCTGGGGAGGTGAGGAGTTTGGTATTCATGATGCAACAGAAGAGGAGAAACAGAAGCTTCATGAAGACGATGTTTTGATGTGGCGTTTTTGGTTTTTGTACATGGTTGCAGTGTACATGAGAAGGGCCAGAAAGGTTGAGACCGAAGTGACCGTCTCTGTGGAGCAGCCAGCAACCCCCAAGGAGTTCATGCCGGAGGTGGTGAGTTGGTGGGATACAAAAGAATGGGCAGAGCTGGCACGAGAGTTCAGCTTTGAGGAATCAACTTTCAAGCAGGGTGAGCTTGGTGGTCTGACCCCGAAGCCAACGACGTTTGGTGGGAACTTGGAGCTCTACGCAGCTGGTCATCAAAGGAGATGCAGAGCAGGAGAAAGGGTATCTTGCTCGTCCCAGCTTTCGAGATGGGCCCCAGGAGTGATGTCAATGGTCGCCTCAGCTTTGATCAGACAGGTTGAGGGCCCCATTTTTAAAGGGAAAGCTATGTCCTGGAGCGAGCATTTGGCTTTCAGGCATGTTCCATACAGGAGAGATTGTCGAGTATGCCAGGAGAGCTCACAACAATGCCCGCCTCATCGACTGGTCAAGGACCCAATTGCTGGAGTGCTTTCAATCGACACAGCTGGTCCACTGAAGCCTGCTTATGATTTGGGTGGGCACATGGCAAGGTATTTTTTGGTTGGAGTTTTGACCTGGAGGGTGCCAAAGGGGAGTGACAAGATGCAGAACCCCCCTGAAGAAGCAGCTTCTGAAGGAGCTCCGGAGATTGAAGAAGGAGCTGAGGATCCAGTTCCACCGGGTGAGGACGGATTGGAAGCTGAGGAGTTGCTTCCAGCCCAGCTCCCTGGTGAAGCGCCGGCTGAAGGAGAGCCTGGCGACGCCCCTGGTGAGGACGGGTTGGAAGGTCATGCAGATCTTCCAGTCCAGCTCCCAGGCGAGGCGTTTGGACCCCCAACTTTGGATGAGGTCACAGAGTTGAGAAGGTTCAGAATGGCCTTGCCAATGGGTTCCAAAAAGGCGAGAGATGTGGTGAACACGGTGATGGAGTTCGTGTTGCGGCTGCGGACGGAAGGGTTCCATGTGGGCCGCATCCATTCAGACCAAGGTCATGAGTTTGCTGGCGAGTTCAAAACATGGGCCCGACAGCGTGGGATCTACCTCACCAAAACACCAGGTGATGATCCAGCCGCAAACGGCAGAGCTGAAATGGCGGTGAAGGACTTCAAGAACCAGATCCGCAGAACGTTGAGGCAGGCCAGTGAAGATGCGAAATGGTGGCCATGGGCTTTGAGGTACGTCAATGAGGTGTACCGATGTGTCCGGATGGAGACAAGACCAAGTTGGCCAAGGTTTTTGGAAGAAGTAAGAGTCCGAAAGCGGACATGGAGGCGGGATGACCTGGACCCCAGAGTGGAGAAGGTTCAGTATCTATGCCCTTCAGTGGAAAACCATGGTCATTGGGTGATCAAAGAAGGCGAAGCCCCACGCCTTACGCGCTACATTTTGGCGCCCACCACTGAGCCGGAGGATGAGACGGTTTGGATTGCGGTGGAAAGAGAAGGGCGAGATGCACAAGAACAGCGACGCCGAATCAGAGGCAGATCAGCAGTGAGGAGAATGGATGCCTCAGTTGCAGATCCTGAGGAGGTGCTGGAAGAAAAGGAAAAGGCTGAAGTTCAAAGATTGATGAAGGTGGTGGAGGATGAGATGCAGTCCATCATCAACGACGACCCAGATCTGGCCGCCGAGGAAGTCAGAATTTTGGGAAGGCTGAGAAAAATGGCTGAAGTGAAGGAGGATGGAGATGAGATCCTTCAAACAAAGGTCATCTCACCAAAGGAGGTGGTCAGAAACTGGTCGGAGTGGATCCCATCAGTGAGAAGCGAGGTGGAGTCCCTGACCATTGAGAAGGCAGCCTTGAAGGAGCTGTCAAAGGATGAAGTCAAAGCGTTGAAGAAGAAGGCAGAAAAGGAGGGTAAGAAGTTGGAGATCATACCTTCCAAACTGGTGTTCACTGTGAAACCTTCCCCAGACCACAAAGAAGGGAAAAAGAAAACCCGGTGGGTTGTTTGCGGAAACTATGAGGAGAAGAAAGAGGGGGAGGAAAACTACTCAGGTGGTGCAGATGCCACATCTTTGAGGTTGTTGGCATGGATTGCATCCCGCATGAAGTGGGCCGGATGCATCCTGGATGTCAGAACTGCTTTCCCCAACGCGCAGATGGAACAGGAGCCGGATGAGGACCTTCTTTTGGTCCAGCCACCCCACATCTTGAAGGAGATGAAGTTTCTGGACCCGGACACACTGTACCTGCCATTGAAGGCAGTGTACGGCTTCAGGCGCTCACCAAAGCTTTGGGTTCTTCATCGAGACAAAACGATCAAGACCTTTGACATCAAGGTGGTCATTGATGGCCGCTGCGAAAGCCTGGAGCTGAAGCCGATGGAGTCAGAGCAGAACCTATGGAAGGTGGTTGTGGTCAGAGGAGGCTTCCAAGAGGCAGAAGGAGAATGGATCTCAAACGGCCGAGTCATTGGCCTTGTGATGACGTATGTCGACGACATTTTTATCGTCGCCGAGAAGCAGGTGGCGAAGTCAGTTGCTCAGAAGTTTCAAGAGACCTGGGCGACCACACAACCGGAGTGGGTTGGCGAGACACCAGTGAGGTTTTTGGGCCTGGAGGTGACTTGCCACCAAATCGAGGGGGAGGAGAAGGTCCAATGGTGCCTTTCACAAGAGGCATACATCAAAGACTTGCTTGGGCGCTATGAGGAGGAGGGAAAACCACGAAAGCTCCCTATCACTCGTGACCAAGCTTCGATGCCTCCAGATGTGATTCCCCCTTCGCCAGAAGGAGTCAAGTTTTCCCAGAAGGTCATCGGCGAGTTGCTTTGGCTGGTGACCCGAAGCAGACCAGATTTGATGTTTGGAGTTTCCAGGATGGGGGCCAACGTTTTGAAGGCCGCCAACTGCATCAAGGACACAGCAGCACAAATGAGGTCCTATCTCAGGAGAACTGCAGGTGAGGGCCTACAGTACAAGCAGAAGATCGATGACCCGATCACGCTGTATGTCTACTCAGACTCCAGCTTTGCACCCGAAGCAGATGAGTCCCATGGATCGTTTGTGGTTATGGTGAACGATGGGTTGATGTTTTGGAGAAGCGGCAGGCAGGGCACAATCACCTTGAGCACGGCCGAGTCAGAGTTGATGGAGCTCGTTGAGGCGATGATTGCCGGCGAGTCAGTTTACGTCGTGCTGGCAGAGCTGTTTAGTGAAATCTCAAAGGTGGCATTGTGCGATTCGCAAGCTGCACTGGCCATTTTGGTTGCTGAGGGCGGAAGCTGGAGGACAAGACACCTCAGGCTGAGGTGGGCGTTTGCTCGCCAATCTGTGCTGCGTGGTGACTGGCAGGTGGGTCATGTCCCTGGTGAGAAGATGTTGGCGGGCCTGGGCACAAAAGTTCTGACCTCATCGAGGATGGAAACTTTGAAGCAGATGATGGGCATGGGAGTTGCTCAGCCCGAAGAAAAAGGTGTTGAAATGGAGAAGGATGAGAAAAAAGAAAAGGAGATCAAGACCGACTCAAAATCGGTCGCCACCATGGCCGTCAAGCTCATCACGATGGCGGCCTTGTTGTCAGTGTCAAAGGCTCAAGGAGATGAAGAAGACGATGAACCAGCAGGTGACTTCCACAACTTTATGGTCATCTACACGGTGCTGATCATTCTGACCACGCTGATGGTCCAAATCCTGTGGAAGGTAGGAGTAGGCGCATTGGGCAAAAACTGGAAAAGAAGGTTTTTTACCCGTGGCCGAAGTCTCCCCATGGGTGAGGAAACGTCAGTGGCAGAGGGTCGAGCATGTGCTGAGGTGTGCGGACCCGTGGAAAGACCACGGCATCTGCCCTCGGCTGCTGGGTCGTCAAACCAGCCAAGCCCCGCTGAGGACGGGTTGGGGATGGAGGAGGGATCCCCAGTCCAGCTCGCGGTGGCTGAGCAGCGACGCGCCGGTGAGGGCGGGTTGGGGCAGAGGGCCTCAGTCCAGCTCCCAGCTTCGGCTGGTGAGGGCGGGTTGGAGGGTCATGCTGATCCTCCAGTCCAGCTCCCGGCTGCGCCTGCAAAAGCTCCCCCGCCAAAGGAGGGACCAAAGGCCCCGTCAAAAGCGGGCCAAACACCAAAGGCCCCACCAAAAGCGGGCCCAAAACCAAAGGCCGCACCACAAAGTGGCCCATCAGCTTCCAGCTCCTCAAGTGGAAGCACATCAAGCAGTATGACAGGCCGAATTGAGACGGCGATTCAAGACATTGCGTATGAAGAGGCAACCCTGTGGGACCATTTTGGGAGGCAGGGCGACTTTCCAGGAGTGCCAGAAGATCATAGCAGAGCAGAACTTGGATTTCAGGTGTTGAGGACGCCATGTGGAACAGTGTATCACGATACACGTGGATGCACCCAGCTTCAAGGACCACGAACTGGCTATGCGAGACCGTTCACATGGTGTGCCTTGTGCCGAGAGGTTGCGATGCGCACCCGTGGAAGACCAATCCCTGGAAGTCCGCTGCTTTTGCGAATGGGCGATCAGACCGTCCATACTGATCGAAGATGCCCGAGAGCACGAGATGCTACGGAGCTGAGAGGATGCATGTACTGTACAGAGTACAATGGGTAGGGCAGGTTGAGCTGTAAAGAAAGAAATGGATGCAATCTAACGACGCATCCAAGGGGGAGTGCAGAACGGCATACCCTGTTTTTCATACTTTGGTAGATTTGTACATTTAATTCAGACATGTTGCACCAATTGACATGTCACTGAACCCTTTTACCAACTGCAGTCGACGTAGCTGCCCTTTTGAAGCTCAAACACCCGAGCTGCTGCCGGTGAAAACAGAGAAGGCGGCCGCTTGCTACGTGGACGAGGTGCGGAGGACTGAAGGTTGGGGACCTGGCCATTTCCAATTTCAATCCCTTCTTACGATGTATTAATGATTGTCCAACTTGTGAATTTCAGCCACTTACCCCAGATCGCTGGCTTGCAAATCTCAAAGGCGTCAAAAAAAATTCTGCAAGAGGAGCGGATGGCTTCTCCACTTTCGAGTTGCAGCTTGTCCACGGCCCTTTGCTTCATTTTCTGTTAGACATCCTGTCTACGATTGAGAAGGGGGCAAAGTGGCCAGACCTTTGGACCCAAGCCAGAGTAGTGGTACTATCTAAGGGGTTTGAGCCTAAATCGCCATTAGATATTCGACCAATTGCCATTTTGCCTAAAATATATAGGACGTGGTCAAGACTCAGAAGCCTTGAAGTGCTACGCCATATTGGTTCAATTTTACCCCCGCAAGTTGCTGCCACTGCAGGTGGCATCTCTGCCGATTCTTTGGCGGCTTATACTGCTACTGTAGTTGAAGATGCTTTTTGGAATCGGGAAGATAAGTGTGGGGTGGTAATTGACATCATCAAATGTTATAACATGATCCCATGGACACCAAGCGCGATGTTGTTGGAAAAACTCAAAATCCCCCATCAGTACATTTCAGGACTGATGTCCCTGTTAAAAAATATTCGCCGATCCTTCGATATCCAAGGAAATTGTTCACAGTTCTTCAATGCTACCACTGGGATAGCAGAGGGGTGTGCATTGTCCGTTTCCTTGATGGCCGTGTATTCTTTGCTAACTTACAAAGTATTCCTTGCGATGCACCCGGGCATTCAACCTTTGTGCTATGCCGACAATTGGGGCCTGATTGCCAATGCCCCATCGCAGATCAAACCAGCCATATTCACGCTTTCAAAAATTGTTAACAGTCTTCGAATGGCCATTTCTTTCCCAAAGTCTTGGGTTTGGGCAACCAAGCTTTCGTGGAAAAATTCTCTTAACAACATTCAAGTAGATGGCCACACCTTCCCATATAAGACCCATGCAGTAGACCTTGGCTGCGACATTAATTATAACAGAAGAAAATTAATTACTGCTGGGAAAAAGCGTATTGAAAAAGCCACACGTGTTCTTAAAAGGATCCAGAAAAGTAAAATACCTGTGCAATTTAAACGAAAAATGATCCATTCTTGCGGATTTGGAACTATGGCCTATGGGTCTGAATTACAGCATATCCCATGTGCAGAATGGAAAACAATCCGTACAGCAACATTGGCCGCAATGCATAGGAAACAGGCAAGTGCGAGCCCGTGGATTGGAACCATGTTCAACCCATGCCCAGTTGACCCACAGTTAAAGGGGGTAATTCGTGCCTGCTTGTTTTGGAGAAGGTTCTTCCGAAATTTCCCTTCCTTAAAAGCAGGGTTTCTTGATCGAATTGTTAATTCACTAGCAGGACCAGGCCCAGCAGTTAGTCTGGGTAAGACCTTCAAAGCTATTGGTTGGGCACCTTTGCCAGATGGATTCCTCCAACATACTCTTGGATTCCAGTTTAATTGGGTTGCGTGTTCAGTGACATTCTTGAAGTATTGGCTGCGCGTCTTATGGACTACACATGCTGCCCACAAAGCCCAATCACGGAAAGATTTTGATATAAGTTCTGTTGATGAATACTTGATGAAAGTCTTGAATAAGTTTCCATCCGACCAAAAACAACTGTTGGTGACGCACTTTACAGGGGCTGCTTGCACCGGCAACATGTATGCAAAGTTCAATCCCAATGTTCACCCCGAATGTTCTCTTTGTGGTGTAATTGATGATCGTGAACATCGCATTTTTAATCGTAAAAAGTATGAAATCCAAAGATTCAATGCCAAACCTCTTTTCAAATGGTTAGCAAAACAATCAGCTGCAACGAAACTTCTTGGCTTGGTTCCCTTGGATTTGACTTTTTCAAAAGTGTTGTGGGAAAATCAGTTAGAATGGCCGGAGAATGTGATTCCCCTGGTCGATTTGGAGATTGCGCATGTGTTTGTTGATGGCTCGGCGTTCCATCAAGATTTGAAAATTTGTTGCATCTCAGCCGGTGCTGCAGTGAAGTGCCAGCCTTTTCAAACTGATCACGCAAAGATCTTTGCTTCCCCGGTTCCAGGTGTTGATCATAGTGCATATCGCGGTGAAGTCTTTGCAATATGGGGCGCTTTGTTGAGTTGCTATCGGGTTCACCTTTACATTGATTGTGAAGCTGCCCTAGCGATGTTAAATTATCTTTGTGATTGTCATTCCTGTAATATCACACCCAAGATTCAGGATCATCATGATTTGTGGGAAAGGGTTTGGGTTCAAATTCGTAGCCGTCCCCCATGTATAATTGATGCCACTAAGACTAAAGCCCATACTGATGTTGAGAGTATTGACGACCCTTTTTTGAAATGGCAAGCAATGGCAAATAATACTGTAGACGCTTATGCGAAGCAAGCCCTCCTTGATTGGAATCCCACGTTTGCAAAAGCTTCTAGCCATTATGCCATATCGGCAGAAAAACAAGAATTCCTGATTGAATATTGTAATTTTGTTAAGCACATGGCATCCAAGGTCACGGATTCCCCGATTAAGATTCAACCTGATGCCATCATCGATTTTACAACACGTATCCCCGTTGGTCCGTTCTTTGTCCACAATGTGCCCCAGGCCTGCCCTGAAAATTGGCCTTTTGGTGAATTTTTTTGGAATAGGTTGAGCAGCTGGGCACAGTTGTTGCAATGGTCCAATGTGGAATCCAGGCCAACAGCCATGTTGGAACTTTATATAGACTTTGCATTATATACAAAAACCATAGTACCCCTTCCAGTCAAACCTAAGGGAAAAAATCAGGCAAATGCCAATATTATCTTGTTGATCAGAACTTGGAATATGCTGAAACTGAGTTTAAACTTTCACAGCAAAGTTTTACTTGGAACCGTATTGTTAACTGGACCCGTCACCACCAGTGTCCTATCTTCCCTGGTGAATGGGTCTCGCAATCAGGCGCCCTGAAGGATCTTGGAAATAGTTTTTGGGTCCCTGCTGTTAAACTGACTGCATCTTTAACCACCGGTGCCCTGCCGTATCAAAAACTACATTCTATTTTTGTCACCCCAATGGGGAAAAAGAGGAAAATGTGTATGCCATTCCGTCCTTAGTGGACACACAGATCGGCACCTGTGTATCCACCCTGGGACGATGCATTCATTTGCATTCGATCCGGCATCTGTCATTTTGCATCCGTGCATTCGACTGTCCCATGGTGTGTCTCGTCGTCACCCCTGAATTTGTTGTTTTTTGTTGGATTTGTTCGTTTTTTTGTTAAATTAATGATCACAATCATTGGTGGGGACTTCACGCGTAGCTGGTTGTCTCTACCGCTGTCACACGGCATTAAAGTCAAAGGCGGAAAAAAACCAGCTTTTGGGGTACCCTCATTCCATGAAACCCCCATATGGATCGTGTCATTTCAGAAAAAAACACCCAGTGCTGGGTCAACCGCGGCCAGGCGGCACCCCAAGGTGCGGGGCGGAGAATCAACACCATTCCCTGGAATTTGGGATGGTATGAAGAAAACTGGACGATAGAATAGAAGCCATCCACTTAAAACTGTCCAAGTTCTCCATTCACAACAGTGGCTTGAAAAAGATATCAGCATGATTCAACATAATTCAACATAGTTCAACATATATTATATATTATATATATATAAATATATCAAGCCACAGATTTTGGGCAAACAAGTAGATAGTTCATGACATCCATGATACTTCAAGTCCAAAAGGACGTTTGTGTCTATTTCTATTTCTCCTTTTCAAGGTTATTTGCTGGCTAATGGATATTCCTCCAGATAGGGTAAATTCATAGGGTTTTGGCTAATCCCCACATCATTAAACCATCATAAAATTGTCATAAATCATCATTAAATCATCATATATCAATCAATAGAAATCATCATTATATCATCATGAAATCATCATTAAATCATTATAAATCAATAATTATAAATCATCCTAAATCATTTCATTTTTCCTATTCCTCCTGACATTTTTGGCAGGTGGTCTCTTCATTGGCTGGCTGGCCTTGAGTTTGTCATGCCTGCTGGCCTGGGCCCAGTCAGAATTTCTGGTGAAAACTGGGGAAGTTATATGGGAATAAAGATCCATGAACTAACTATTTTAGTGTACATAGGGTACCGATGGTACAAGGGTTTTGACCCATAATATGACGTTATCCTGTAAAAAATTGGACACTGGCGGACAACTGGAACCGTTGGATCCAAGAAAACCTTAGGAATAGCCCTTTGAAATGGTCATGCATTAGGGTGTACTGGCATATTTTGAAATGGTGTACCCAGTCACTCAAATAGCTGCCAGGTATATGTATGATGAAATATGATGAAGTAAACCCAGTAATAAATCAATCATCCTTCAAAAGGACCTGCTAATGGTAGGTTACTGGGATGGTATAATAATTTTTGTTGACCGTAGTACACCAGATGAATCCAGGTGATATTCTTGTTTTTTCGATCCTTCCCCTCCACTCCCCACTAGGAAAGATACAGTGATTGCAGTATCCCGGATGACAAACATGTCCAATGAGGTATGCTGCCTCGCCTTGCAATTACAGTGCCCCAGCGGGAATTGGATTTTGGTTTATTTTGGTGCTTGATTCCACTGATGGGTTTGACAGAGTTTGACCAAAAGTGGAGGGAACAAACTCCAATGTGCCAATTGATGGCATTCACTCATTGGGAACGTGAGGTCTTGAAT